ACATTCTTATTCAAACCCAAGGCTACAAGTTTCTTTGAATCAAATGGTTCAATACTGTTAGAATTATTGTACATGGATACATGAAATAATGAAGTTAGTTTGTGATGTATAAATATTATCTACAGACATAGTAAGGTAGCAAGACTGGAATGGTGTACTCCTTAATGTACTGGAGGTACAAAGGTGTTCTTTGCAGTTTATTAAATTTACTTGCTGTCTGTTATAAAATTTAATTTATGGTTTGCAACATATACATAAATAAAAAATTAATTTAAACAAAGTGAATTTTATCATGATTCAGTACTGCTGAAAACTGAAATTACCCAACAAATTTGGAAAGATTCTAGCCAACGGTTTAGGGGCTAATTCAGGGCAGACCTGACTTCACATAAAAGGTAAATCTGTCCTTGTACATAATTAATATACGAGTATAAAGGCGTTTGATGGAGTGCAGGTTAGTCTTTCTCAATCTTAATCTTCGTACTAGATCCATCTGGGTCATCAGCTTCATGACCCAGACACTTTACCTCCATGTGAAAGGAGCCCTGGTTCCCATTGAATAGGAGATAGAAGCCCATAGCCAGTCTAGATGCCCATGCAAGGAGTTGAACCATGATTCATCAGCCATCTATCCCACACCTCGTTATTATACGGACTGAGCTATCCTGGCTCCCATTGCCAACTAAGACATTCATTTTTATTTTGCAAAGAATGCCAAAGTATGATAAAATTTATATGATGAGAGTTTCTGTAAATATATCAAGAGTTTAATTATATAGTAATGGTACGCGAGTGGCAGAAGAGTATGGTGATGAAGAAATGGAGCTGGAAAGAATAATTCTTCTTTTACTTGGTATCATATGTGTAAGTTATTTATTATTAGATGCAAATATAGGATGAAGAGTATCTGAAACAGAAACAGACTACACTGGACATAATTATTGCCTATTTCGTTTTACTGTGTAGAATTCACCTGGAGGGACTGAGGAGCACCACATTGTCCACAAATAAGAGAAGAAAAATTCAGTTGAAACAACATAACATTTGAAAGAGATATTATTATGTTCATACTCTGTTCACTTAGTTTATGTTCTCACAAAGACAAAAGGACTTACAAATGAAGTTGCATGAATAAACAATGAATGGTTTGCCTAATTAAGGCATGGCCATAGTAAGACTTCCATAGACCCTAGGCATTAGGACGTTTGGGTTTACAAGCTAGGACCGAAAACAATCAGGCAGACAAATGGTTTCATATAAACCACCCCACTTTGCCCAGGAAGATCTACAATGTCTGTATTCACCACAATAATTTCCAGTTTGAGAATTTTATATGATTACAATACTTTCTCGTGTATGAGAAAATAGAAGAAAGAAAGAATTGTCCATCATGGTGGAATGCATCCAAGAAACCTCTCCAAGGCTTGACCATCACTAGAACAATACCCAATAATGATAGCCAATTGATCAATATGAACTCTCTCTAATGTAGAATCAATGCCCAGATAAAATATTAGCTATGTTTATTTCAGCTACACTGATAGATTTGTCACATATCAGTGGTGAGAGAAATGTCATATTTCCCTTTCTGGTATTCCCACGCCCAAGAAAAGAGTTGGTATCCACTGGAAAATTGTAATTTCTGTAGGCATACTGCCTACAAAGCCTAAGCCATAATATAGCCTTTAATTCAGGTTGCATGGTTTTTAATAATCCCGCTTGAACTGCAACAATAATAGTCTCAATAAGAAATTATATGAGAGCTGTGTTAAAAATAATTTATATGATAGTCATTGTCAGTTTTATGGTACCGTCCCATGTGCATGATGAGGTCAAGGAACCTGACTGAAAACTATGTCTTTTGTCTGAGATAAAACTTTGTGTACCTTATGCAAAATCAAAGGAAGAATAAACATTATTTAAATAAATTTCTGAATTTTATACATTAACCATTTAACTTTTCTCACGTTATACATACAACAGTGTGTGCCTTAGACATAGGTGGAACTAATTAATCAGTGAATAATATAATAAGATTTTCTGGCTTGATGACTATCCAGACATGCATATGACAGCAGTATCCTGTTTATAGGTGCGAGGTAGATTCCAACATAACAATTTTTCATACCTGTGTTTGTATAACTCTCATACCTGGAAACTTATCCTACTGTTAGCAGTTTACCTGAAGAATGTCAACCTTTTCAATGTTCTAAAACTGTTTTGTTATAAGACCCTTAACATGTTCATTATAGCATTTATTGTTTAATATACAAATTATTGCATACTAGGGGACCTGCCAACATTGAGAATACTATTAATAAGTGGGACAAAATACACTAACAAAACCAAACATTTTAATAATTTATTTTTAATTTGACAATGTATATATCTGAAACACAAGCCATTTCTATTGCCTGTCTGTGTGTTTTTACTGTCACCAAAATGAAAGTGAATTTAAATACTATCTGGATTTCAATGATACATGTAAAATTATGCGGCATACTGCTTACTTAGGTAAGTAGCCTTCTTTTTAATGCCAATTCTTTTAATCAAAGACAGGCTCCTGATTTTATAAGATTTAAATGATTTTGCAATACTGTCCAAACAAATAATACACACATTAAATTCTGAATGAATATTCCAACAGTTATCCCTGGGATACAGACTTCAAGACACTACTGCATTGCAAATATTCAGAAAAGCAGAGATTATGGGTGTTTGTTATTATTAGACAAAATTGTATTGCACAAAACAGTTAATATATCAAAAGTGTATATTATTTTTAACTGGAGAACAGTAACTTGCTTCAAAATTAGTAATCTGGGCAGTGATGTTGTGTAGCTTGATAGATGGACATCAGAATTTAGGAGGAATGAGCTGTCTTGATCTTAAAGAGTCCTCTACCCTGAAGTTGGAAGTAACAAGTTTTTCTAAAAAAACTGGCATCCATTTATCAATCTACACACTGCCACATCCAAGAAGTCCATTTACCTTGATATCCACTGCCATGAGAACCTCACATCTAACAGTCATTTGCTTACATTCTGAAACAACTGGTCATAATATGGTTGCATTCTTTAGCTTGGTTATCTTGTTAATACTATTTGGAAAGAGAACAGGTTACTTTAAAGTTCATAAGCAAACATGTCGATCAACATTATAATACTCAGAGTTAAAATTTATTGTGTATTGCTATCACACAAGATGCAGTAATAAATTAAAAGAAATTGTGACATATGTTAGAGATATCCATGTAATCACACAAAAATGTTTTAAATAACTGCATTATATGTTAAAATTTTACCCTAACAGTCCCTTGATTATCCACTCTTAGATAGATGGTGATATTTTCCAATGAAATAATCTCACAAACTTTGTTCAATTCATTTGGTCTACATGGTTTTTAGTTAGTAGCAGCATTGGTATGTTTGTTGGATACAAGAGTGATGGAACAATGATAATTAAAAATGAATGAACATTTGTTGGGAATAAAAAGAAGACAGTTGTCAATGTGATGTCAAGGATTCTAAGTCAACTTCTGGAAAGAGTATGGCAAAACTGTGGTAGTATTCAACAGACAAATGAAGGCATAAAAATGTACTGAAATTTCCATTCTATATAGTACTGAATTCATAATCAGTCCAGGGCATCTACGACAGAACAGGCAAACCAAGCAGCCACTATGATCATTTTAGGGGAAACATATTTTACAAACACCATTTGGACTTTTGTTAAATGTAGATTCTACTGCTCTTTTCATCATATCATGCCCTTTAATTGGAAGTAATCTAAACATCTTATGCAGCAATGTAAATAAACTGTTTTAAGAATGATGGTGTCAAGGACAGTTTTTGTCACAGTGTGTGGAAATCTTGTGTTATAAATTGTGAGAAAGTTCTGTGGAATTTTTATCTCCTTTTAAATGGAAAAGGGATTTTTATCACGTGAGTGAAATTTAAGCTTGTGCTGGCACTGAATAAATATGACACCAGTAGCGAATCTGACATGATATTGTAAGATATTTTAAAAATTTAGTACATCCCCTAATAATTACAAAAGCCAAGTACCCAAATACTAAAATGTTATGTATCAAATTCAGAAACAAATATCATAGAGTTTTAAACTAAAAACAAGACTGAAGAGGTGTAGACTAATTCTGATATTCTTTGCACTTAGTCCTGGGGAGTAAAGCGCGGCCGGCGCGTAAGGCTGACAACCTTACCGCCATCTTTGAGCCGATTGTCTAGATAATGTGGCACCCTCAACATCTCACAACCCTATGGGACTTCATGGCCTGTTACAGGGATAGCTTTACTTTTTTTACTTACTACTGAGCACCTTTTCTTTGCACACCATCTAGTATTCAGGGAACAACACTTTCTTTTTTTGCAATTCTGTATAACATTCTGGCCTTGGCATTTGCTTACTGCAGAGAATACCCAATTAAAAGTTGAAATGTTGAAGGATGTAGAACAAATTCTGTTGTTGTAAAGCTAATCACACTACATGTCTAACACATTGGACAGTCATGGTAAATTTTCAGTTGTATGGCATGTATGAAGGATGAGGTGTGCCAGTTACATGAGAAAAATTCTTACAGAAACCTAATTTTCATATGATCTTCTCCTTTTCAGTCTTTTAGATATCTCCATTTTCTGTTTCAAAGTCAAAACATGTTTTCATTTTAGTTCTTTAGATTCTTCTTAAGTGAATGATTTTAGATATCCTCTAACATGATCACATATTCAACTAGCATCTACTGTAATCATGGATCACTACTACTGTAGAGGTATTTGTGAGATGGAAAGATGGGTAGCATAGCATACCAAGTTGTGTGTGCACATATAAACACCACAACATTGTTTTTCAAGTTCATTTACAAAATATGTACTTTTTCTTTGAAATATTTGCCGGTTCCATGAGTATCCTAGACGTATAGATACTGCATAACTGGATATTTATTGATTTTCATTATATATACATAACAAATTAAGAAAAAGTTTCAAATGAAAGCTATAGATCTACTGAGATTTATATTTTATAATAAGTTATGTTCTAATATTTGCATGCTGAGACACTTTTAGAAGGAAAAAAGATACAAAATTTCAGTGAAATCTGTAAACAGTTTTTCGGGCTAAACATACAAAATAGACAGGTATGACTTTGCTGTTCGCGGGTAATTTTAAGTAATTTGAGCAAATATTATATGAAAACAAATCTGTCTTACCCTGCATCCAGTGAAGTTGTGGGTAGAATGAATGATACACCGTGATAGCATGCATAATGGGAAAAATTTGGATTGTGGTCTTCTACAGTATGACACCATGTAATTTCATAAGTGGTTATCATGGTTTTGATGGACCCTGCTACCCCTAAAACTGGAGGCAATAGGTTTTTCCAAAATATTAGTAACCACCTGTGAGACAAAATTGTACCACACTGCAAAAGGCAACAACCCAAATTAAAATACATCATAGCTGGTACTCATTCAAATATCAACACCTCAACTGTTGTTGCTTTTGACAAATTAATCTTATATAGAGGATATTTTATCCATCAGCACAAAATTATTAGTGACTTCTGGACTTATTCCATCCCTCTAATGGAACACCACTTCATTTATGTAATTAATTTTGGATTTCACTTGTTACATGTCAGCATCATTTTTTACAAGCAGAAAGTAAATGGTATATTAAAAAAAGTTCCAAAGGGTCCTGACAGTGGTATATTACTCTCAGAATTGCTGAGTTTCTGGACTTTGTCCACCCAGTTTCCAAAACATTGTGCTCCTTCAGAATACAAGATGATAAACACAGTCATGAAACTCAATAATACCAGAAGTAATACTTCATTACTTGGCAGTGCAATGCCGTATCATGCAAGCAGCTACAAATCTGTTAAACAAATTTTTTTTCTGAAGCAAGTTACCATTGTAATTTGCAAAGACTTTGGAAAATGTCTGAAAGTTTCTTCAATTCTCTTGTGGCCTCCTCCAAGCCCCAAAATTTCCATATTTACATAGATACAGGATAATGATTATTACTATGATAAATGTATATTCAGGGTCACTTTATATAAATAACTGATCTAATACTTTAGAGAATTCAGCAATTGATTTATGAGATATGCCACCAGAGGCAAAGCAATTTATGGACACTTTAAAAATGCATATTTCTCATTAAGGTTACACAACCTCGACACTGGTAGGAAACAATGTAACATAGTACATGTATTAAGTAATGGCACAGATAATGGCAGTATAGCTGTGACACTCAATAACCTCACTCCGCAGTGACAGCACTTTGTCCTTGCACGTGCACAATTAGTGTTGCTGAGAGGAGGGATGGGCACGACACACAGGGTAGTTGCAAATGTCAAAACATTCTAGAATTCTGATTTTGATAATTAAATTAGAGGTGTTTACACTAACATTTACATTAAATATGTTGTTGCACTGACTGTATGAAATTTAAAAAACAGTTTATGTATCTTAGCATCTTCCATATTCTTGAAAGGAACTTCAGCTACCAAAGAAATAATAATTCAGGTTAAGTCTTTGGGAAGACATAAAATCTTGCCAAGTACATTAATTTTAAAAAATGCCCATCCCTAGCATATTTTCTCTACAATCCCTTTTCTATTTATTTGGTTTGCTTCATTTCATTTTAAAAAGTATTTCTGTACAAGGAATCTGTATTCCAGATTATTTGAGACATGAAGATTAACAAACAGTCCTCCTATAGCTGTTATAACCATGATTCTGGTCTATGGATAAACACACATTGTCTGGATGACCTCACTAGAACTGGCTAATCTAAATCACCCGCAACAGTTCATCATCTATCAATAGAATATATGTTCTCTTGCAATGCCACCAGTTTTCTTATGTACATATTAGTGCTGCAAAACCACTTTTTAAAGCTCAGCAAATGTTGATAGGTGGAATGCAACTATAGCTATGTGCTGTATACTGTTTGAGTTATCCCTCACTCAGTTCCAGAAAACACATACTGTAATTGTCACTATGTGCCAGCTGTCACACCCACCACACAGTCTGATATGAACTCAAAACGTCACAACAGTTAAATTCAGTCATATCAACATTATACAGTTATTATATACAATATTAATTCCATGACATATGATACTGTTTATCATAACACTGGCCTCATATACACAGTTTTAATGTACACTGGGGTCACCAACCATGCAGAAAAAAGTTCCCCTCTGAAGGATCCTTGCAACAAACAAGGTCTGGGATAGTCACATAAACTGTATGATATATTTTGAGGGACATCATGATTATTGGTGACACATTTTCACAAGAATATGACATTGATACACATTTTATACACACTGGACTGTCGAAGTCAGAAGATCTGCTCCCAAGAACACAAGATGTGCAAAACACACTCTTTTCATAGTAATATGTTACAATAAGATGTTGAACAGCCTTCACAATGGACAAGCTGGTAGAATGGGATTGTGCCTGACAACATGTACCTTGCCAGCTGAGAGAGACAACAAAGAATTCTACAAATTTGCCTCAAAAGTTAACTCGTATGGGGGAACAAGCTAATCTTGTGCATGGATAGATGGATAGGAGGTTTATGGCTTAGTTTAGGACACCTATGTAATATAATCAAAGACCAGTTTTGTGTTCCAGGCAAAAAAAAAAAAAATCCAAATGGGCAAATGGTCGTATTTGTTTGAAACAAGTTTCAGATTACATGGACACAAGATGTTTCCACTCTGAAGTGAAGTAAACAAAATATGAAAGTAAAGACTTTGTTCTACTTCTGATAATTACTGCAGGAGATATCTATGCAACATGACTTCTCTTCATATAACTTACAAGTTTATTGTGCTTTTATTTTAGAGCACACTTCCACCACAGGAAGACGTGTTTCATTGAGTTTCATTTTTTATTGTCATTACTGTACCTTCTTTAATCCATGCATAGAGTATAGTTCCAAATTCATGAGAGTGAGTTCTTTGCATTTCATACCAATAATTGGTTATGTCTTTCCTATAGAAGTGTTATTGCTGTGAAAGTCTTGTACATGCAGTTCACAGATGTGATACTGTGTTCAAGTTTTCAGTTGCTGTCATCTGTGTCTGACTGTCAATATCTCCCAACACTGCACAGATACCTAACCAGCAGTCCAGGCATCCAGAGTCAATGGTCCTTTCCTTACGGCAGTGCATTTTCAAACTGGAAGGAACTTATATCACGCGATCAAAGTGCAGCACTCCTGACCGTGTAACTCACTATTTAGAAATTATTTTATGTGAGACAGAAATAGGGGTGAAATATCTCAGTCTACAGGATGAAGCTTGTGGAACAAAAATATTGACTAGGTTGGCAGGACTGGTGAGATGTCTTCAAGTTGGCGGTGGTGTTATGTTTGGGCTCACTGCTTCCAAACTGTCTTGGTCAACCTTCAAACAAAATTCATACATAAGTCACATGAATGCGTTAACATAAACAACTTCTGTATTAAGTTCTTACTCTTCAAGGAGAGGACAACAGATGGGAATTCATTAACTCTTAAAGCTAGAATGTTCTACCCAGAAAGTAAGAAAAACCAATCATGGCTTCATTGTACATAGAGTTAGGCACATGCACTAGTAATTTTCAGTTTCTATGTTCAATACCTAGTGAAGTACATGCCTACCCACTAGTAAGGTCAGTGTTTCTACAGACCCATGCTTATAAGGAATAAATCAGTATTATTACCATTGATGGAAATGAATGCCAACTTCATTCATCTGTGCCTTCAGTCACACATTTATAGATCAAAGACACAAAAATAGAAAATATAATGCCCATGTTATTGATGACTGAAGATTTTTACTGTATGACTTACTGCTTCAGTACCTTAGGGATATCAGTGTCTGATGTACACTATTTGTTTGTTTCTTTGACATAATGTTTACAATTTTTTACTGTGATTTGAATTAATACTCTCTGCTCATGTGTCCTGTGGCAACATATAATCTTCAGAAAAATGTGTCCATAGTGGACTTACAGTTCCTGTTGTACTGCAAGCAAATTCTGGACTGTGAAGTAAAGAACTATCACCTCATACTGGCATACTGGAGCAGATACTCATATGAGTGAATGATCACAAACATTTTTGTGGATAAGAACTCACAAGAAAATTATATGTTAACCACACAGTAATATAATCTTATGACAAATAATAAGAGATCAAATAAAATATTAAATAAAATCAGATAAACTAAAGAAACTTTAAAACTTAACCTCCAAATTATCATATTATATAAAATAAATTTCCTTCTGGATGTGATGCCATGTAATCTAGTAGAAGTTTAATGGTAATTTGGAAGAATATGTTGCTTCCATCTTCAGGTTAAAAAGTAGACTGAGCAAGGAAGTAGAACCTAATGCTTGCTGCTCTTACTTATTCAGCTTACCCTTTCACCCTGAAGATCAAGGCAGTATGTACCTTTGAAACATCATAAAACTTCTATTGAGACTACATGTCATCACATCTCAGAGGACTGTACCCATACTTACTGCTATGAGAACCTCAAATATTATACAGAACATGACATGTGAGCTCCCCAAAACTTAGCATTAAAAAGCAAGATTTTTAAATTGTAACCAAAAGGAAAGTACATACTATTATTTTACCAATGTTTCATGGAAATTGATGCTTTCATTTTCAGGGTAGAACAACAAAGAGCCAGAAAGTTTCACTGAAATGTTGATACCTTTCTACCAAATTAGAAAGCATCACATCCAACAAAACAGTAATTTTCATATTGAATTGAATTGAATTGAATTTATTTGCATTCCATAGATCCTAAGTAGATTAATATCTCTGGCTATATAGAAACTGTTTCAAACAATGACTGCAGATCTTACTGGACATAAATTTAATGCCTTTGGTTGATTATTGTACATATTATGAGCTATTTTTTGAGAAAATCAATAAAGTTTGATTCAAAATACATGAAAGGCTAGAATTCTGTCTTCTGGGATATAATGATGTGTAGTCCACTGAAAGTCAACTGGCATTTCTGTGAAACATGTTGCCGCCATCTTCAGGGTTGAAGAGTAAGCCAAGTAAGAAACCAGCATGAAGTAGGCAGCAAGCAGAACTGTGCTTGCTGCCTGTTTCATGCTGGTTTCTTACTTGCATTATTCTCTGACCCTGAAGAAGGAGGTGATATGTTATTCAGAAACATTTGTCAGTTCCACTGGACTACACAGCATTATATCCCAAGAGACAGGATTCTTCACAGTCACCACTGCAAGAAGCTCAGCTCCAACAAACAAAGCACAGGCTTGTACTCTTATAAACCAAAATTATATTTGAAGAGTACTATCTCTGGGGTATAATGCTATGTGGTTCCTTGGAAGACAACTGACATCCTGGAGGAACATATTGTCTCCATCTTCAGGGTCAAATAAGCCAAGCAAAATACCAATGTGAAAGAAGGTAGCAAGCTGGTGTCTTGCTTGGCTTAATCGACAATGAAGATGATGGTGATATGTTCCTATGAAAGGTTGGCTGACTTTCAATGGATTATATGGCTTTATCACAGAAGACAGTACTTTTCATAACCACCGTGAGAACCTCAAATGCTACAAAATTATATTTGTTGAAGAGCTTTCAGTATTAGTGAAATGCTTGTCAAGTTGTTCTCATAAAATAATATACTGAAATAGTACCGTACTGCAGGCTGGTTGTACTGACCTCATTCTGCTGATGAATTTGGCCATTGTGGTTGCCACTGTGTGTACAGTTTTGGTCTTCCCCCATATCCAGATCCAACAAAGAAGGACCCAGAGACATATGGTCAGGTTCTGAATACTCCTGCAGCAGGCGAACGCTCCATTCATTCTGACATGAACAAAAAATGCACCTCACTTATCGGAGAAGGTTCTTCTGTAGAACTTAGACCAATGGATTTACAGTTCACACAATTTACTTTACTATGTTTCATGAACAAGTAGTTGGTTTGATTGTAAGAGTGGTGAGTTTTGGTGTATTCTTAGCAAATAATGAAGTGCAAACTCATGCAATTCTTAACCCCCCCCCCTAATATTTTTTAGCCAGTCTTTCTCACGATACTTTACACAAGAGAAACTGATACGGAATCCAACGTTTAATCAGGTGTTTGTATTTCTTATGCCAAGATAAAAGACGAACCAAAGAATCATCACTGTACACAAAATAATATTTTAAGTATGCTACACAGTAGACTCTTGATTATCTGTGTGCATTATCCACCACTCTGCAGATCAGCAGCAGAACTTTCAAACTTTCCCAGATACTGATTATGATACATTATTAGAAGCTGCCACTGTAGATGTGTTTATTTTGCATGGTTATTTCCTTCCAGATTATGACAGTTACTATTTTCTTTTTGGAACTGTGGATGGTGATAGTTTATGAAATGAATAACAGGAGTTTCTACAATCAATTTTAATAGTAATAATAATTATAGAAATCTTATTCTCCCCCCGGGATACTGCCTTAACATGGAGGGGAGTTCTGCTTGTTCAGATCACCTGGAGAGTATAAGTTTCTGGTAGGATCACCTGAGCTAGACAGGTATAAGGGTAGGGGCCATACAAAAGGTAGACCCTGACCCTCCGGGTCAGGTGATGGCCATGTTGCTAAGAACCTCAACTCTGGAAAAACAAAGTCCATCAGCTCTATGAACCAGGGTCAAACATTGTTTATGACAACATAGTCTAAATCACTGACAATGGTAAATCCTCAATCCCATAGTGGGGAGAGTACATATGTTGAGAAATCTAATGATGGATGCTGGATGAGTAACGTGGGAAGCTGAAAGTGGAGACATTGACTCAGAAGGCAAATAATAGAGGCAAACAAGCATCTGTCATAAATGAGTCCAAGGTTTTTAGTGGACTGTACAATCGGATGAAGAAAGTACAGAAATACAGCTTAACTCTAATTATATGAATCTCCAATTAACCAAATCACTGCAACAGAGCTTCTTATGCAGAAATGCTTGTACGGTTTATCAGCTGGGAAATGAGTTTTGTCTGTTAAACAAACACCACCGTCGGACTTTTTCAAATATATTGTCCAAAAATGTTTACTTATAATTATATTTATTAACTTTCATGTTTCATCTGTCTTTAATTTTTTTGCGCTTTTATTATTATCATTATATGTAATAGTATAGTACATTATAATACGATTTTTTCATGGATAAGAATTTCAACCAATTATCTGAACCAAATCGGTCACTATTTAATTCAGATACTCGGCATTCTAATGCACTATTTGTGTCTGTGTGAAACCATGTGATAGTGGGCTAATGGTAGTTACTTGTGCGGCATACAGTGATGTACCGCCACTCCTCTATTTGTTAACCAGCAAAGTGCCACACACCTCTTCCTTCAGTTTCTCCATGAGACGTCGTCGATCAGCATGCAGCTGATCAGCCTCTTCTGCCTGCCGAGCAGTTCTGATCCCGGACACTTCCAACAGCGCCAGGTGAGCATCCTTTTCACTTATAGCAGCTTCAAGAGCCTCCTGCCTGCATACAGAAACATAAGTAAAATTTTACAAAAGAATCAGGAGTACCATTTGCAACATATGACAATGGGAATCAGATCAGAAGGCAAAAAGACACAGATGAATACAGATTGCTAAATAAATATTTCTCTTAAGTTAAACACGAAAGTACCATCTGCTGCATCCAGTTTCTAAATCAATAAGTAAACATAAAGATTTGAGGCTTTCATGGCGGTGACTATGAAGAAAGCAGTCTTCTGGGATTTGGCACCGTGTATATGTGGTGTTAACCGACGTTTCGGAGGAACAGTCTGCTTTTACCGGTTCTCACGGTCTCCTTGCTTGCAGATTTCTTATATTTTTTCTTCTACCCTGAAGATGGAGGCGATACGTTCCTCCGAAACGTCGGTTAACACCACAGATACACGGTGCCAAATCCCAGAAGACTGCTTTCTTCAAGTAAACATAAAGTTTGACATGTTTCAGTCATATACATAGGCATCTTCAGGGGCATCCAACTGTGAAATGAAATTTCATATTAGATATCTGTGAACTACTGAAGATTCGTTTACAGGTCTATGCTTAAAATACTATTGCTATTAAAATAAGCATAACATAAGAAGTCAATGAAATATAGAAACAAAATCTAGACAAATATAAACAAATTTTAAATACATCATGTAAACCTAATGTAAAGTTTCCTTCTACAATTGGCTGCCCCTGAATGTGGCCATATTTTACTGAAACATGTCTGGCTTTATGATTTACTGTTAATTAAATAGCTGGATATGCCAGATGGTACAACCCTGTTTAACTTAATGCAAACATAGCGTCAGTAAGAATAAACCTTATCAAAATATTTCTACACTTCATAACCGACTGACAAGGAAAATTTCTTGCCAACTTCATCGTTTGGATCCTATGGATCATTCTGATCCATTCTGTATTTTATCTCATCAGAATTTTATTGATCTTCCAATATTCCTATATCCAATGGGATGTCCTGGTACCCTTTTTTAGATATGAGTCAACTGTCTACAAAGCTCTATCCAGTTTTCCCATTTATGTATTTATTCCATTGTAAAATTCCCTCAACCCAATCTAGGCTACAAATATGCCTGAGGATATAGAACCAGTCACAGACAAGTAACTAAGTCACACATGCTATGAAAATAAGCATAGGTCAGGTCAAACAATAAACCAAACTGTTTATCTTCCTACATTAACATTAAACATAACAACATCTTAAATTTAATATTGTAAAAAATCATCATACCAAAAGGTAGATGATAATATATTGTGACATGTTGACATGCCAAAATAAAGCAACCATAATACATAAAACATAAAATACATAATACATAAAATTTCACATTAAAATTAGTAATTACTATTAAAAAAATCCTTCAGTGAATAAAAGGAATTCAATAGAAGGTAGTTTTTTTAGAGTATTTTTAAATTGATTCTTATCATCAGTCAATTATTTTATGCAAGGAGGTAAGTGATTAAATGCCTTTATACCCATATAATAAACACCATTTTTATAGAGAGACAACCTTGGTTGTGAAGGGTAAACATTATTTTTACCTCTGGTGATGATATCATATAACTCTGAATTTGTTTTAAATAAGGAGATACACTCAATTCTCGATTATCCGGGGGCGGATTAACCGGGGCGTTTTTGAGGCTTATATGTTGTTTAATATTCATTCACTTTTGTTTCACATGGTGAGTTGTAACACTATTTTCGCACTAGTGTGAACCGAGCTCTGCATTTTTTGGCCCCGTTATGCTAACACAATGTTCTAGGGTAGGGGTGAAAGAATGCAAGGATTTGTGGAAAGTTTCAAGGACAGATACACCACTCCAGTTACCCTCTTTGTATCGATATTCAAGTGCGTTAGCAAAATGTCAGGGTGTAAAAGGAAGCGTGTTGTGTAAAGTATTCAACAGAAACTCCTGTGAGCCAGGCTTCAAAATGTTAAGCAGTGACGAAACTGTAAGTTCAGTGGGGGTGCAGCCAGAAGAGCGGGAAGAAAGTGAGTATGAGGAAGAGGTGGACAGTGCTACTAGTAAGAAAATATCACATGGTGCTGCTCTTAATCATTTGGAATCCTTACTAGACTATTTCGAGAGTGAAGAGAACAGTTTATTAAGTGACAAGCTAATATTACGTAGGCTTCGTATGGATATCCGTAAGAAGGAAAATGCCGCGAAAAAGCAAACGACAATATTAATTTTTTTAAGTGTTAAGTGTGAATATTCGTAAAAAGTGCTGGATGTTGTTGAACACTGTGATTGAAATAACTAATTCATACTTCAGTGTAATGTAAAAAATGTATTAAATAGGCCATTAGATGACATAAAAATGAGGTTGAATAAATTTAAATACAGGTAGGCCTATAGTATTATGAAGGTACAGTATTACAATACTACTTTTAATAAAATTTCTCTTAACCGGGTTTTCGATTAATTGTGATTTCCATCCCCACCATTATCCCAGATAATCATGAGTTGAGTGTATTATCAATTACAAAAATTAGTAAGGAAAATATATAATGAGAATAAAACGATAATATATCTAGTTTCTTAAACAACTCTCTACAGGAATCCCTATTTGTTAATTAATTAATTTTGTATTTCACTTAAATTGAATGCATGTAATTTTTATTGCAGTTATGTTATGAGACATGAGACTCTTAAGGAAATAAGGATTATACTAATTATTTTCTTGATGTACACTATAATTTGGTAGATGGTTATCAATGTTCCACCTTCAAGCTAAGATTCATGTTATGTTGATAGTGTTTTAAGTGTATAGCTGGCTGAAGAAATTTTAAAATGGAAATACCATATCGATCAGTTGGTTCCAAAGTTAAGTGTGGCATGTTATACAGTAACAGCTTTGTTACATGTCAACAACATTGATACACTGAAATCAGTTTATTTTGCCTACTTTCACTCTATAATTAAGTATGGAATAATATTTTGGAGTAATTCATCTGGCAGCAAATTACAAAAGAAAATTGTTAAAATCATGGTGGGCATAAAACCTCAAAATTCTTGTAGAGATTTATTGTATTTAAGAGATTACAGATCTTACATCTTCCATGTGAATATATATTTTCATTATTAAGCTTTATTATAAATAACCAAGAATGTTTTCAGACCAATTCGGATTTACACAGTGTTAACACGAGAAACAAGCACCATCTCCATAGACTGGTTGCCAACCTGACATGTTTTCAGAAAAGCGCATATTATTCTGGCATTAAAATTTTCAACAATCTACCATCTAGTCTCAAAAGTCTAATGAATGAAAAGGCGCAATTTAAATTGGCACTGAAACGATACTTAAATACATACTCATTCTACTCTGTTGATGAATTTCTACTGTCTAAAAACGACTCGTCCTTTTAAAAGGTTATGTACATTGCATAAGTTGACAGTACTGACTTATATATGTGGTTGTATATTTTTTTGTCTCTCAGTTGTACTGTATTTATGGCTTTTGTATCTGTATGACTTGTTCCACATTCTACAGTCATTCTGACTTACTTTGAATCTACACAATGTAATGTATGTACGAGTATGTATGTATTTATGCAGTATATAATTGTTTCTAACACCACCCAACATTTAATTCATTTGCAAGATAGAACAGTGTTTAATTTGTATTAGGTTGAAGAATTCCTGGAGGATATCGCAAAGACATTAAAAACTTTATAGTAGTATTTAAAACGTTGATTGCATGTCACAAGTATTTAACAGTATTATTTTTGAAGATTTCCAAATTTAGTTTTTATAAAAAATGGAAAGGAGGAGTAGGAAGTGGAGGAGAAGTAGAAGAGTTCTAACACAAGTTGCCTAACAAGCAAAAACAATGGAGTCACTTTTCTGTTGTTGCTACCATTAGAACCTGCTTCTACTTATATTTAAATGCACTTGGGAAACAAAGTAACTTAAAGAACTAATGTTGAAAGAATTTGTTCAGCCCTCATTTCTATTGTGATAATTGTAATTAATTATCATACTCAGCTGGATTTGGAGTCTGTCATATAAGATTTCTTAATTATATAGCGCAATCCAGTTCTGTATAGTCTTGAAAGCTTCCTATCACGAATTTGTTTATATTACATGACCATACTTCATCTGAGCAAGATCTTGAAGGTGTTCCCTCCTCTCCGCCAGCAGCTGTGTGAGTCGTCTCTCAAGCTCCTGCAAGCGCATCAGCAAGGGTCTGCAGGTACTGCAACGCAGGGCGTGTGCCGTCTGCAGGGACAACAGCCTTTGCTCCAGTTTACCAACCTGTAACACAATATGTATACTTCAGGCACCTTCCATAATTTATAATGCCTACATAGCCTCAATGGTTACCTTAAACATACTGGATGCTACTGATTATCTTTGTGCACATTATCCTGTTTGCAGCTTATCCATGCAATATTTTAGGAGCATTTGCAATTCTACACAGTGCCTATTAAGTTCACTCAATCCATCCATCCATCCATCCATCCTTCTGTATGCAGGAAATAATTCAAAAACTGCTGACTGGATTTTTATAAAATTTGATACAGCAGAATTTTATGATGTACTCTCAAGCAACCACTACAGATGAAGCACTGAAGTGAGCATAACTTGCTAATCACTTATCACAGAAAAATGTTTCAAAAGAACCTTGTAGAGAAAACTGAAACATCTTTTATGTTCCCTAAGTCCTACAGTTTTCAAGATAACTGTATATATCAGATGGTATTAATACATTTCCAGACTTGTATATTCAACAATCGCCATTGCTTCAAAACCACACCTGAAACCTCGATTATCCATGCTTTTCATTATTCCTACATCTTTTCCCCCTTCATTAACATGGATATTTGGACTATTCTGTAAATTTGAACTGTCTTATATGCTCTCCAGGTAAAGCTGAAAGGTTGTGGGTTTGATTCCCAATGAGGTCATTAGATTTTTCAATTGACCCAATCCTTCCAGCTGCACTATGACCCTGGAGTTGACTCAGCCTCTAACAGAAATGAGTATCAGGAATATTCCCGGGGTTACATAAAGAGTAGCTGGTGCATAAGGCTGACAACCTCACTACCATCTGTGAGCAGAAAGCCTAGAAAATGTGGAAGCCTCAACATCTCTCCTACATGCACTTTACTTTTTGTCAAAATTTCTCTTTATATATTCACTGGTACAGAAAAATGATTCACAACCTCGTTGTAGTGAGTTTTTGAAGAAAATCTATTCCATCTGTCTCACATTATATACTACAAATAACAGCCTACAGATTTCACCGTTGCTAGCATGTCTAAATAAATACATTTACAATATAAATATCAACCATTTATGCACAATTAAAATCAAAGAGTTACTTTAATTACCAACATTCACCATTCAAATAAAACATTATTCATGAAGGCATATGAAGTAATTGAAACTGTCAGGTAACCATTTTCCGGTCACCCCACTAAACTGTATCGAAATACACAGAAGAAAAAGCAGCAGTGTTAAAGGCAGACTAATTGGCCACTAAAAGAGAAAGAAAATGCTGTATCTTCTTGGATGGCCAGCTGCATAAATCAGAATAAAAGTTGATTCCATCAAAGACCTTCTCCGTCTCCATCATCAGCAAATCATCATCAAGTGCATGCCTTGAGATGGGACATTTCTCAAGTTTGCAAAGAATTAAAATACATTGGTGTCAAAGGAATATAAAAATTACAAGGAAGGAAAAACATGAAGCTGAAAATTTACAAAGTGATGGCACTTTCCACACTTTTATACGTGTGAATCTTTGGTTAAACACAAAATTATTAGCAAAATTCAAGATTCTGAAATTAAATTTGAAATAAATGTAAAGGGATGCATCACATCGGACACAACTGGAAGTTAAATATGTAGAGGGAGGTCAGTATTTCTGTTTTAAATGGAAAGATGAATACAGAGAAAACTGAATGTCTAAATCCATAGACAGCAAAAGGAGAAAATGTAAAAGTTACTTTCGCACTACTGTTAATACTGACAAGCATAACATGTGATCATAAGTTCCTGAAAATCCTTCTGCTTTCTTTACATTCACTAACCTTCTCCATGATCTGCTTCCTGCAAGACTCCTCCTCCTGCAACACCATCTCCCTCTCGGCTGTGATACGGACACTCTCTCTAAGGGCTTCCTCCAGTTCCTCGATACGTTCATCCTTCTGGCGCACTACCCCCACCAGTTCCTCCAGTTCTGCCATGTGACTGTGGTCCCTCAGGGCTGCTTCCAGGGCACAGATCTCTTGTTCCATGTCCATGATCTTGGCATCTTTCTTTGTTAACTCCTCATGCAGTCCTTGGAGCTCTTCCCCTTTGTGTTGGTCTGTCAGTGCTTCCTCGAGACTGCAAACATCTTGTTCCAGCTCTGTGATTCTAAGTTCATTTCTCTTGACCTCTTTCAAGTCATAAACCATCTGGACGTTGTCCTCTTTGATGTTCACCTCCACAGATTTATCCTGCACTTCCACCTATATTTGTGTCCCAATTGTGAGGGAGTCAGGTTTAATGAAACATAAATAAAACTTCGCCCCAAAATAATAATATGTATGATTCCTAAAATGAAATAAATGGTAGAAATAAATCATAGTGGCTAAAATGTAACTATGAAATAAATTAAGGATATGGCTTTCATAAAAGCAAATAAATAATACTCTTTGTAATAAAAATATCTGAGTGCTATAAGACAAATCTCTGTCCACATGTCCAGCATTAACAATGGAACAGCCATCTTCAAAGAACATGCTAAAAGTTGTGCTAAATAAATAAATGTTATTTTGAGTCCAAACAGTAGTGCAGGAGCACTAGAAGAAGCTCTTGAGAAAGCCAGCAGGGCCAGCCTAGTGGTACATGCAACAACAGAACAAACCAAGCAAGGATTCAAGGACAGGGGAAGAGAAAGAGAAAAGAACTGTATTAGTTTCACCAGAAAGAGCTACACTCTCAAGCTGTTATGGCCTATCAGATGTTTAGGAAAGATACTCTTATGGGGTTTCACATCTAGTGGCACCAGCTATATTGACTCAGATTCTCTGACTGAGTTATGATGTAGTTATGTTTATTCTCTGAGATGACTGCAAAACTAAGTTGTGGTTATTTATTAGGACAAAAGTTTTAAATTTTGCAATAGAGCCTTATTTTAAACTGAAAATTAATACTAACAATAATATAATTCCTTTTCTTAGAATATCACTGCTGTGCTCACTAAATGAAACTGTCATCCTGCTCCAGAGGTCATATAACCAATTTAATTCACTTCAGAAGATTGTTAATAGTTTCAACGTTCTGTTCTACTGCGATGAAGAGAAATGTCTCTTGCTAGAAATAACAAATATTAATTTGTAAATCACAGGAATATACATACATATTCTTATTTGAAATGTTGCACAAATGTTTTGAATATCCTTTAACAATAATCACAGTAAAAATATCAAGAATAATACAAGTTAGTGAAACAGTTCAAGATACAGGCACAGAAAGAGTTTCAGTCTCTACAGAAGAGGCAATCTCTCTGTAATAAATTGTATAGTTAGGTCAGATATTATTCTTTTATCTACGAGCAAGTCTACCATTTCAGGCTAGCATTAAGATTAGACAGGGCTGTTTCAAAACTTCATTGTACGCTGACCATTCCTTTAACTTCAATATCAACATCACAACTTAAATCATCTGATCTGTTCTGAGTCCAATAGAGCATGCATTTAATTTGTATTCTGCATTATTTGACTAAGTTTCAGTGATATTTTCACAAGTATAATAGTCTTTTTCTAAACATGGGATAGCCCATAAAGATAAATGCAGAAATATTACTGTATATCTAGACTTATTAGAATGCCTTCAGACTGCATTACTGCTGAGATCTGTGTTTGTCACATGGAGAATATTAAGTTTTTGATCTGAGACATAGTGTGGTAGATAGGTGCCTATGTGAGTCTACATAATATCACATTCCATAAAAGCCATTCATGTCTGTAAAAGCAGTGACAACTAAGAACTCTGACTGTCCCAGGAAAAGAGAAGCACTGTATTATACTATGAGAGGTTAATTTTTCTAATCCAGTTATCTTATTTTACAAGGAAACAGAGTTATGTCACACTTCTGCCTCCACAGCAACATTTGTTAATCCAAAGAATATCACCCTACAGCCATATTAATTAATTAATTAATTTATTTATATTCTGTAAAAATGAAGCCTGTTTGACTGGCCAAGTTCACTGAAAGCTCCAAAAAAGGTTCCATTTCAATAACCCTCATGGGTTATGGGCAAATATCTCAGAATTAAAAAGAAAATGTGAGGATATACTGTTGTTAATTCAAAGTCATTAATTAAAAAAAAATGCAAATTTCTTTTCATGCATTAAATTAAATTGTAGTAGTATATTTTTAAGAAGTTGCCACTCCATTATCAGTTGCACTGATAGAAATTTAAAGTTGTAGTTACATAATGAAATTCTGAACTATCAATACTATTCATCAGTGTCATTAAACAAGTAAGCAATGCAGCTCAGAACTCTGACCTCTTCCCTTCTGCGCTGTTCCTCTAGCTGTGCGTTTGCCGTCTGCTGACTCCTCAACTTGGCTTGGGCATTCTTCAGGGCCCTGTAAAGAAAAAACTCATTGTGTGTGTGACAGTTCTCACTAGGCTTAATAGTGAAAAGAACACATTAGCAGGAAAAGCTCTAACATGATTCAAAAAATGATTTTAAACTATAAACTAGAAAATAAAATAAGTTTGGGAGGCCTCTAAAACAATGAAAGGTATTTCTTTTGTAGTATCTCTAATAGGCCTCAATGATGCTAAGGAAAATTAATATATGGAAAATGACACATGTCCTCTGATTAGCTTTGCAACAGAAGAGTCTTATCCATGGCAGGTTTTGCCTGTTTTTACATTCTTTGCCTGCAATATGGTTGCTTTCCATGCCAGTACACAATAATAATACTCAAATTCAGAAAGTTTGCTCATGTTATTAAAAAAAGATTGCAACTGAAGATTTGAGTTGCAACCCAAAACTGTACCATAATAGTTGCACATCATGTCATGGCTACTGTAAAAATTTGCAAGAGTACAAAACTAATTTTGTGATTTTCATGTGTTCTGTATTAGGTCTATGGTAGGAAACAGGAAGTTGACAGGAAAGTGATACACAAATACATGCGCTTGCATGCACACCACTGATTTCCATCTGATACCTACTCTTGCAAGTCACGGATCATCTTTTCTTTTGTATTCTGCTCCTCTTGGCTCATTTGCACTAGCTGTAACAACCGCTCCATTTCTACTTGGGATCTCTGTGCATCTTCACGAGTTTTCTCTAGTTCTGTGTGGTTAGACTCCAACTCTTGCTGCATTTCTGAGAGTCGTTTCTGGAGCTCTGGATCTCCTCTGCCACCTCCTCCAGCTGCTGCCATTGTTGATTGCTGATGTCATGTAAAATAATATATGTAGTCAAGTCAAATCCTCAATGTAACATATATTTTTAGAATCATCGCTACTTACGCATTTCATATTATTAGAATTACTTTAACATTACAAGGTGGTTCAAATATGACCAGGGCTGATTTGTGTGTAAACAAGCCGCACTGTGCAGCAGCTGTGTGAACTTGAGAGAGTGAAGCCACAACCTCCACCCTCCCTCCTGTTAGGGTTAGAACCTGTTCAGTCCTGTCTGGGAGTTGCTAGAGTGATGAGCGAACAGAAGGTACCGCGGAGCGTGGAACAACGCACTGTGATCAAATTCCTCGTTGGAGAAAACGTCCTGTCTGCTGAAATTCACCACAGACTCCAACAACAGTATGGGGAAGAGTGTCTATCACGGACCCATGTGTTTGAGTGGTGTAAGTGCTTCAGAGAGGGCAGAGAGTGTGTGGAGAATGAACCGCATGATCGTCGGCCGCGAACATCCGTCACCGAGCCAAACACTGATTGTGCAGACGTGCTTATTCGTGAGAATAGGCGCATCACTATCAAGGAACTTGGAGCAATGCTGTCCATCAGTGTTGGTAGTGTAGAAGACATCGTGAAATAGCACCTGCACTATTGCAAGGTGAATGCACAGTGGGTACCACGCACTTTGATGGACGTAAACAAAATGGTGCACATGCAAGCTGCCAGTCGTCTCCTACAGCAGTTTGAAGACGAAGGTGATGCATTTTTGAAGTCTATAGTGACCACCGATGAAACATGGGTGCATTACTTCATTCCCTAGTCCCAGCAGTCATCACGCGAGTGGTGGCATACCAGTTCTCCCAAACCCAAGAAAGCGCGGAGGAGCCGTTTGGCAGGAAAAGTGATGGCAACGTTCTTCTGGGACTGGCAGGGGGTTATCCATGTAGACTTTCTGACAGATGCCAGAACAGTCAATGCAGCTAATTACTCAGACCTCCAGGCAACAAACATGAAGGAAAAGATCCGATCCAAGCGGAAGACACGTGGAAAGCGTGTAGCCTTCCTTCAAGACAATGCACGCCCCCATATGGCCAAAACAACAATGGAAACCCTCCGGAAACTGAAATGGAACCTTCTGACACATCCGCCCGTACAGTCCCAATTTGGCCCCAAGTGATTTCTACCTGTTCGGAAGGCTCAAATCAGACTTTCAGGGCATGCAGTTTGTGGACAACAATGCCGTCATCCAGACTGCTCGAGAGTGGATACACCTCCAACCACAAGCCTTTTTTGAAAAGGGCATCAGGATGCTTCCAGAACGTTGGAAAAAATGTGTTGACTCCGGAGGGGAGTATGTTGAAGACTGACATGTGCTAGTAAGTGTTTGGCAATTATGTTTTTTTTTTAAATCAGTCTCGGTCATATTTGAACCACCTTGTATCACCGCTACTTATGCATTTCCTATTATTAGAATTACTTTAATATTCTTAAACAAGTACTAACAACAACATACATGGAGATTATGGTCTGAGGAAATTACTTTGCCGGAGAATTTAAAAATGCACATCACAGACTGTCACAAGAGTTTGCACTTGTTACACAAAAAGGCACACTTGTAGAAATAAAAAAATTGAATGCAAAGAACTAGATGAGGGAACATCTACTGATGCTTAAATTCTATGGAGACATAAGTACAGGCACTACACTTTTTTTTTTAACAAAATGGCCTTGCTTGTGTAAGCCTTTATATTTTAAAACATCCTTCTTATTTTTATTCCACTTGCCTTCTGTATCTGTGCTTCTAACTGGTCCAGTTTCTCCTTTCTCTTCTTTAATTTTTGATCTACATCTGCTATTGATTTTTCTTTTTCTTCTAACTGTCTACTTTTGCTATCTAATCCCTTTTTATGTTCCTCTAGCTTCCTCCTCTGGTCCTCCAGCTGCTTTTTCTGTTCATCTAACTGCATCTTAAGAGCGGTAGTTTCTTCGCCAGCTCTCGCTGCGCCATTTGCTAATTTCTTGTTCGCCTCGTGCAGGTCCAGCTGAAAAAATCAGTCTTAAGTTACAGACATACATACATTTGCTTCAAAATAAGGTAAATATCATAATGTCCAGATCATTTCCAAACATTAAATTATCTCTGAACTGTTATAGTAATGAAATAAGACTGGTGCACTTTTGTCTGTGAGTTGCTGGGCAACATGCATAAGAAACAAAACAGAAAAGTAATTCATAACTCTAGACGAAACTTAAGAGAGAGTAATAATTTCTTTGCTTCCAAATTTTAAGTTTTGGTTGCAGGATTTGCATATCTCTCGTTTTTGATTATATATGTGCCATTGTTCCATAAACAAAATGATGCTAATGCACTATATAACTACATTCCTAAAATACAGCCAATGACAGGGGAAGATGACTGAAAGAACACTAACTTAAATTAGCCTACCCAAAGCCTAACCTAATATAAGAATGACATGCACTATTAATCACAATAGTGTATATAGACAGGAGTTCACAATTTTAGTGAAGCGTGTTACAAAAAACATAAATCTTAGAAGGTTTAATATATTTCAGATTAAGCAACAATTCAGTCCAATCATGACCAACAACCTTGTGTGTGTGAGAAGCACTAAATTGTGTGCAAGGGACATACACATTCTACAGTTCATCCAAGATTTTACTATTACTGTGTTAAAAAATATTTACTGCTTTAAAGTGTATGTTTATACAATCCAAAATGTATGGCATTTTCTCACATAATCTCCCTTCCTTTACATTAATACTGATTACTTTGCATGTATAATGCACACACAAAATGCTTGCACTGCATGGAAGTGCTTGTATGCCATATCTATAAATTTATGGGTTAATATTAAACTGAAACTTTCTTGAACACGATAATTACTAAAGAAAAGGTTAGATAAATATTTTGATTATCCTTTCAAAATCCATCTTCAAATTATAAGATGGAGGTAAAAAATATCACAATATGTTGACCTCTTACAGCAGGTTAACTTGCCTTACTATTGGCATAACTCAGTGACAATAAATTGCATAATATTTACAAATGCGTGTTTCGGTAATGTATGAATGAATGTTCAACATTTCTTGAAACTATATTATATACTCTGTAACATTCTTTCTCTCGTTGCAGCAAACTTATTTTTATGAAAATTCTCAATCCAACACCAGCATATTATCTTCTTGAGTGGGAACGCACAGTAACTTCAGTATTGTTCAAGAACTGAAACATGTTGCTACTGTCAAAATATTTGTGATGATAAACAACTACAACAGCACATGTATAATGTCAACATTTATGTATACATGCCATACAGGCAAGGGCACACATCTTGTAACAACTTTTACTTCATAAAATTACTTCATTCTGCAAATAAATTCAAATATTTGGAACACAGAACTTCAAGATTCTTACTGCTCCCTCTTAAGCATGCAGGAAGTATATATGTATATTGACAAATTTGTGCAACAGGAAAAAACGACTTGAAATGTATGCAGCACTGAAAAAAAAAACTTTAGCAATTGCTTTGAAATCACTTATGACACACAATGTTCCTACACCAGTAGTCTGAATTATTACCACATTGTGAAATTATTATATTTGTAATTATTTAAAAATCTAGGTGTCTCAGTTTCAAAACCCCTCAACAGTATGGGATTTAAAAGTATAAAATCACAGTCTTCTCATTTCCTTGCCTCTTTCTCACATGAAATCAAATCCATCACAGGCAGGCTTCTGTTTTCATAGAAACAACATCTCATATGACTGTGAAGTCTATATGGAATGACTGCAATATGAATGTCACTTTTTTGGTTGGCTAAAGCTCAAACTATTATCAGCAAAACTTAAAAACGTACATAAACAAGCAGATTTGCCATATCAACAGCAAAGAGAGAGATATTTCAAATGAAGGCAGTACAGACAAACAGCAACACAAAACCTAACATGACAATTTAAGAGATTATTTGACAGTGACACTGGGACAAGCGAACAAATTAGACAAATTCTTTACAGTTTGTTGATAACCATGATCTGAAAGTCATATGTTCTTCCCATGCTACATCTTCATTGCAAAAGAATACATGTTTCAGGTAAAATTTCTACATCTCATGCCATATCAATTCCCTTTCTCATGTTTCACTATAATAGATGATCTGCTATAGTTACTGCATTTGTCCCAACATATTCTATTTCTGTTGATGGAGGACAGACAAGGGCATTCTAGTAACATTCAAATGCACAGAGATATGCAATGGTAAGTGTGTGCTGTCTCTATAAACAATGCTATCTCTTCACTGTGCTTTCACTAGCAGAAACATATTTTTTATCTTTCATCAACACACATTTAAACATATTCAATTATATGAGATTAAAGTTCTCATGGTGATAAGTATTATGTCTTAGGGGATTTGATGCTGTGGATTTTTGTAGACAGTACCTATCTATTAAACTATATAATGTTTCATTCCAGAAGATCATAATCTTAATACTCAATAATATTACTACTTCTGTATTCTTCCATTCAAAACAACCTGAAAATATTACAGAAGATTACATTTCAAATGGCATAACCTATAGTAATAAAGCGGAGCTTAATAGAGCTATTATTAAGTATGCAAAATTCCTTTAAACAAAATTAGTATAACGCTTAATTTATGATTCTGGAAATGGAGTTTATATTCTCTCACTGAACTTCTAAAGAAAATATTTTCCTTTTAGATTATGCTTTCTGTAATGTAGTTCTGGACCAATCTTCATGTCATATACATAATAAATTACTTTATCAGGCCCCTCTTCTGTACTTAACATGTTCGCATGATATAAAATTTATCCAGTATTTATTTATCTAATTGCCCAACTGCAGCATTACTAGAATTTTCCATGTCTAACACTATTAGTAACCATACAAATAGCTACTTATATCTAATGACAGAAAATAAATTTAAGAAGGTGTCAACATACCATTAGGCAGTATGAAAACAGCATTACATGTAAATACCAATTAACAATCACAGAAAATAGACTGAACACACATCTACCTAATAGTGCTATTGAGATACGTTGCTCACTGGTACATTACTCTAAAGCAGTAACTTGAAAATTCTTAATAACAATAATAATAATAATGATAATGATAATAATAATAATAATAACAATAATAATAATTACATTACAGCCATTATGCATACATATAATTTACAACACATACACGCAACAAACAAGTAAAATACCATAAGGTCTGTCCACATAGCTGTTTTCAGACTTAAAGAAAATTATGTCATTGTTCCCATAAATGAGCTGCATGAATAGATGAAAACATTATTATGCACTGGAGCCCTACTGTGTGCACGTATAGTATGCAGTATAGGAGAAGTGATAATATATCAAGGTCCTATCAAAAATATAAAGTAGTTTAAAGGAAAAAATTTTTATAACCTGTGTTCTGCATCAAATTCCATGTACTGTTCCACCCAGCAGAGCTTCAGTGTATTTTCAAATGCCATCATCATGCTACAGTTAAGAATGAACATGGGGAAAATTAAACTTAAAACAACAAAAGTGCAATATAAAACATGAAATGTGCATGGAAATGTTTAAACCAAAAAAGTTCATAACTGACCATCTTGCATATTGATGCCATGTGCATTAAATAAACAGTGATACAGGACATACAGAAACATACGAACTAGTGTGGGTTGGAGGATATGCCCAAAGGACACAGGTTCAGTGCAGAGCATGCTGAATCTAATGCTCAACATTTAACAGTGTGCCAGAAAACTTCTGGGTATCTCCATAAATTGTAAGCCCAGTTAAAACAGTCTTGTCATAATAAATTGAAAATTTCACAGAAAGAATCTCATGAGATGGTGACAATAAACCAATGCTGATACTGGAGCTAGGTGGCAGTGTGACGCGGGAGATGAGGAAAATATTTCTTGATATAAGAAGGATTTACAGTAAACACCAACATGTAATTAATGTATGCACACCAAAATGAAAGAAAATATATAGAAATAAGCAAGCTTTTTGTCAGGCACACAACAGATACACACGTAAGTACACCTGCTGAAGTTTGGGCAATCCTCCAACTAACCTGGTTCTTCTCCAACTCCTGCACAAGCATCTCCAGTTGTGCCTGGAATCTTTCTCGTTCAACTGCTGCATTCTTCAGATCTTCTTGCGCCTTTTCCAGCTCTTTGTGCAATTTCATGACCTCTTCCTTGTTGCTAGCAGCAGGTGTTGCAGTCATGGCTTGCTGCTGTAACTGTGCCATCTGCTGCTGCAAGGCTTGCATCTGTTTCTCTGTGCCTTGCACCTTTTTCTGTAATTCTGACACTGTCTTTTCAGCTGTGTCTGCCCTGACACGTTCAGTCTCTACAGCCTTACGCCATTGTTCGATCTCAAGGTCTCCTTGGACCCCAATCTGTTGAAGCACCTTTTCCAGTTTCTCACAACGGTCCTTCTCTTTGTCCCTCTCTTTCTGAACGGCCTGCACCTGCTGTTGCAATCGTCCGATCTCTCGATCCTGATTTTCTATCAACTCTTTGTTGCCTCTGTCCACATCCTGAGGCGTGCGGCGTTGTTCACCTTTCATCCGTCTCACCTCCTCGCGTTCTCGCTGTAGTTCTGACTCTGACTGATGCAGCTCTTCCTGGAAATTCATCAGCATATCCTGTGATTTCTCCAGCTGTATCACCAATTGATCCCTCTCCAGAGTCAACTGCTTCATCTCTGCCTCCAATTTGCTCATCTGTTTATCAACTTTCTCAGCCTGCTTATCTCTCTTTTCAAGGATGGAGGCCATTTTATCTCTATCTCTGTTGGCTTGAGCCAGTTCCTGCTGAAGTTTTGTGACATCTTCTTGTGCCTTGTGATCGAAGTCCTGTCGCACACGCTGCTGATTATTTTGGAGCTGTTCAATTGCAATTTTCGTCTGTTGCAATTCCATCTTAAGGGTCTCCCTGTCTGCACTGAGCAAATCTCGTTCCTCTGTTGCTTTTCGTAGGTCAGCCTGAGCGCGCTCTAGCTTCTCATGCAGCCTACTCAGTTCTGTGGCCATACGCTCAAATTCTATCCTTGCTGCCTCGTTGTTCTCTTGGTACTTGCCAAGATGAAGTTGTGACTTCTCTAGTTCACGTGTTAGTCTGCTCACTTCACTCTCAGCAAGGTCTCTAGCCTGCTGGGCTTTCTCTAGCCTATCCAGGTCAGAGCGATTCCTCTCACCGTGGCGGTCTGCCTGTGCCAGTTCTATCCTAAGGCGCTCATTCTCCTTCTCCAGGCCCTCAGAGCGTGCCATAAGCTTTTCATGACGATCACGCAGCTTCTCACACTCAATGTGCACGCGCTCTAGCTCACCATGCTGCTTTTCCTGGCCACCAGTCAGCTTGCCCACCTCAGCACGGCTCAATTCGAGCTCTAGTTGTAACTCATGCAAGCGTTCCTCCTGCTTCTCATTGGCCACCAGGGCACGCTGTAGCTCCAGTTGGCTGGTGTCCAGTCGCTCACGCAGTTTCTCACATTCTCCCTGTAGTCGTGCACCCTCTACTGTCCATTTCTCCTGTTCGAACTGGTATTTACCTCGCACACCCTCTGCCCTCTCCAGATCCATCCGCAGCCTCACCGCCTCCTGTTCTGCCTTGCGTGCCCGCTCCAACTCAGCTGTGGTTTTCTCAAGCCGTTCCCTCAAGCGCTCCAACTCTACCTTAAGACGGTCCTGTTCTTCTTTAGTGCGTTCTTGTGTGTCTTGATACTTGCCCATTCTGGCAGCATAACGTTCTGCCTCTTCACGGTGACCTTCTGCCTCTGTGCGGTACCTGTCTACTTCAGCCAAGTTCTTGCGTAGCTCAATCTGCACCTTGTCGTGCTTATCATACATCTTCTCAAGTTCCACTTGTAAACGTGCTATCTCTTCTTGGTTCTTTTCATTGCTGGCCTGAACCTTGCCACACTGTGCATGTGCACGCTCCAGCTCAAAAGTGAGGCGCTCGTTGTCAGCCTGGAACTTCTCGCGATCGCTTTGAAGGCGGCGCATTTCGATCTGTGACTTTTCATAGCGCTCACGAACCATGTCTAGGTCAACAGTGATGCGATCCATCTCCTCCTTAAACTTCTCCTCGTTCTCTTTGGTGCGGCCCAGCTGAAGTGCAGCGCGGTCATATGCCTCCTGAACACGCTGTAAGTCATCCTGCAATTTGCGTTGTTCTTCTCGAGACTTGGTTGCCAGCAGCTGGGCCTTCTCTGCCTCCATCTCCAGATGGTCTTTTTCAGTCTCAGCAGCCTCCAGCTTGCTCTGCAAACGGTAGATTTCTCCTTGAGACCTGTGACACAACAGTGGCATAGCAAGTTGAAGCATCCATTCTGGGTATATAGTTACCAAACCAAATGTGACTAAAAATACTTTACTCACTGAACTTGAACATACGAATTCAGTGACAATTACCAATTAATATGTATGACAATTTGAGTCATATGTTTCTGACTAACAAATGATTTGGTGTGTCTTGTCACTTATTTAGATACATAATAAAACCCCTTACTAAGTTACAGGTCAGACAGCTTAAAAGTGAGCTAAGCAACCAGCAAGATGTAGAGGCATTATGTTCCCCTGAAACATCAGTGACTTCTACCAAACTACACAGGCATTACAGATCAGGTGACTGTAATCTCTGGTTGTGGAAATATAAAGGTAAAAGTGTATCCTAACTAAGAAGGTAATAATTTTCTTACCTGTCAAGCTTTTCAAGTATTCTTTCAAATTCCTTATTTGCTGCATCCTTATCTTCTATTGCTTTTTGTGTTGTAAGTTGAGCTTTATCTACCTTGTCTTTCAAGATTTCAATTTCAGTCAAGGCATCATCTCGCTCCATCTGAAAAACGGAAAAGAAACCCCTTTTTGGATAACTGCCACATTACACAACAGTACCAATAGCCAGTTTATTCAGTTGTTTTACCTCTGTATTTACTCAGAACTTGTGGAGAATTCATAGGAAAGGTGACCTACCAAATTTATCATTGCACTTAAACAAATCCTAGGATGTAAACATATAAATTAAATGGCTCATTATATGAAATGTAACACATAAAAACAAAAGAAATTAAAATGTTATATATGTACTGAATATTTTAAGCCAAATAAGAACGATAATGTTATTAAAAATTAGTGACTAAAATTATATGACTATCCCTTGAAAGAAGGAAACTGGTGTTTATCTGAGGGCTGCATGAAGTAACAAACATTCACAATTTGATTCAAAATATACACTGTAAGAGTAACTAACTAACTGATTGACTGAATGACTGACTGACTGACTGACTAACCAAATAACCAACCAACCAACCAGCTGACCGACCTATTGACCAACTGACTAACTAATGGCATGAAGCTGGGTCCTTGTTGAGAAACCACCAGTCACTCAGCTACTCAAGAATGTTCCAACATTTTATGAAAGCCCAAGTTTCTTTACCACATTCATAGAAGCCCACCACTGGCCCTATCCTAAGCAAGATTAACTCAATCCATACCGCCCAATCACATTTCTCTGCAATCCATTTTACTACACATTTTGAAATTTAAGTATGTAAACTCGTATATACGCACACCCTGAGACTTATGTGACATACTCGTAAATCTGTGGAGTGTAGGCTTTCTTGACAAGCTAATATCTGTTCTGTCTGTGAACTAATTCCTTATCCTTTATGAAACCAGTAATTTCATTAAATTATTCACAAAAGCCCATTATCTGACTAAAATCTACACACATTTCTCACTTCTTCTGTGTCTGCTACATGTTCCATGCATCTCGTCCTACTTGTATTCATCATTCTAACAATATTAAATTTTGAAATTTGGAGGAAAAATATGGATATGGACCACATGAAGTGTATTCAGGGTTACAAGATATAGAGCTGAAGTGTGGACAGGGTATTAAGAAACAATAAGACATAACTGACAGAACTGTCGGCTTGAATGTGACACCATACAGACTGAGAGAAGTTTGCTCTGTGTTAGAGGAATGTGCTACCACCATCACCAAGGTTGAAGAGTGTACAACATAAGCCTCCAGCAAGAAACAAGCAGCACTTTAGCTGTCTCTGTGACCCTGAAGATGGAGGCACTAAGTTCCTGTCCACCAAATTACATGTCTTCACATTCCAGAAGATAGTACTCTTCATAGCCACCATCTTGAGAACCTCAGATCCAAAATGCAATAAAATTCAAAACTTGAAGAATGGGCAAGTTTTATAGGTGAATATATAAAAAGAAAATCTGATAAAATTAAGAATACAGTGGAAACTCCATTCAACATTCTTCAATTTAAGGTATTACCTCATCTGCTTTTCAATTAAAATGATCTGAAGCCTATGATATTAATGTTAAAATGTCTCCAGTTCAAGATTTGCCTCAGTTTACTTTAGTGCTCATATCCACTGCTCACTTGAAACTTTAATGTGGGCATTTCACTGTACTGCACTGTGGATATATGAATGATTACACCAGGTATTTCTGTGACCATCAAAGATTAAAATGTTGAATAAATGACCACTAAGGAGACTGAGGACAGGCAGAGATAGAGATAATACGGCAGCCTACTACAGAACAGGAGAAATAAACAGTTTGGTTCAAAATATCAGTGAACATTGATGACAGTGACACACCCAAAAAAATGTCTAATGTTGTTGACACAACGTAATTTTTTCAGACATTATATATCATGATAACTGATTATTAGTTCATTGATCAAATACTAATAAAAATGGTGAAATCTAAATCAACTTGAATCTGATTGAAAAAGGATGACCTAATGGAAACTGTATCGTCATCTTCTTTCTTTCAATGTTTTCACTTTCATGTGTGTCATCTCAATGTATACTACAAAGAGAGAATAAATTAGGGTGCTAAGTGAGTTATTTCTGTCCTGTTGAGACCTTAACTAAGGTATTCACTACCTAAACATCTGTCACCATCTGTCTAGTCTATGAACTACTACTGTCCCAAAATACTGTTACCTGAAGTTTTTGGTGCACTTGTTGTGCCTTGTCCCACCTCTCCTTTATCAAATCATATTCAGTTTCCATATTCTCACGTTCTCTCTGTGCCTTCGATACTTGGCTTTGTTGCACTTCTAAGCGTTCTCGAAGTTTCTCACATTCTTCCTGGAAACCATCTTTCTCCTTCTGTAGTCGGGCCATCATCATCTAAACAGATATCATTTCCAATTAGGTACTTACTATTAAATGGATTTTCCATATGAGAAATGAAACATGACAACAATTTTGCATAATATGAAAATAGTATAAATTTTTAATTTATGCCAGGCATAATGTAGATCAAAGTGAGACATTAATGCAGATAGTACACGAAACTGGGGGACTATGCACATACTTACGAGTAGTATATATATCAAGTCTCGGATGAACAAATTATTTTAGATTAAGAATAAATTTCAAGACTTGTATACTATATCCACAAGAATTTCAGGAACAGATTTTGAGGTATGTAAAATGTAACAATCATTTCTACTGAACTCTACATTACAAACTACCCTTTTTACAGGATGATCCATGTCACACAGATATCTCTATGACCAAATAAGACAAGAAAAATACTAATTTTATTAAAGTTCACTAGGGTGGGCATGTGACAACAAATTATAGGGTAATCCCCACTCAGTTTTATTTGAATTAATGTTGTACATTAATTAGTGATCCCAAGTCACTAATCTCAGGGTTAAATTTCTTCCATCTTCAGTTTAGTGTTCAAATCCACTGCTTCCCAAAGAACCCCCAAGTGTGGGTTTTGCTTTATATCATGTCATACCTTCAAAATGGCAAGCTTTGAGTGTACAAAATTTCAGAACTCAGAACTTTCCTAAGACAGCATCCGCAAATTAACGCAACTATTAACCAGTCTGCATTTTGTAATGATTCTCATTAAAATGGGTATGATTTGCTCAATTTTACTATTTATAAAACAAAATTACAATTCTCAAATTCTTGCTGAGTCAACTAACCTGTGCTTTCTCATATTTGTCTCTCATCCTGTCAGCATCCAGCTGAATAGTCTCCCGTTCCTTTTGGAGGCGTGTAGCCTGGCCCAGAGCTTTGTCTAGTTGTGACTGAATGTTCTCAAAGTCATAATTCTGCTTCTCTTTTTCCATTTGTAACTGTAAGTAACACATTACAACTCTGAGAGAAGGCTAGTATACTCTAGATTCATAGGACACAGTCATGCATTGCTAGATATGTACAGCCAATATACTGTGTGGGACTCACCCTCCTGACCTCTGCCTGGGACTTGTCGAAGCGTTCCTGCAACTTGTCCACTTCACTCTGCGCCTTATCCAGTGAGTTCTGGAGCTTGTCCTGCTGTAGCTGCGCCTTTCCCAAAGTGGCCTGACTCCTCTCCAATTCCTCCCTCGCCTTGTCGAGCTCCGCCGAAATCTTGTCACGTTCAGCATGCAAGCGAGTCACTGCAGCTTGAGCCCTGTCATACTCATCTCGCAAGCTCTCGCGCTCCGTCTGAGCATTTTCAAGCCGTGCCTTCAGACGATACACCTCACCTTGTGATTTCTCCACCTTTTCCTGCAAGGCTGCAGCCTCTGCACGGGCCCGCTCATTGTCGGCCTGTGTAACCCTCAGCTCTGCCTGGGCCCGCCGCAACTCTGCTGATGCCTTCTCAGCACGTTCCTGGATACGATCCAGTTCCTGAGATGTACTCAATGTACTCCGCCCGAATGTGGTTTGGGAACGTTCAAGGTCATGCCGGAGGCGTTCATTCTCAAGCTCTAGGCGTGCAAGCCGCTGCTTGGCAGCCTCCCAGTCTGCACCGCTCCGGCCGACCTCACTAGCCGCCTTGTCCAGCTCAGCTTTCGACTTGCCGAGCTCTGACTGTGAACTCTCCAGCTTGGCCTCCAAGCGGTCCTTCTCAACCTGGGCCCTCTCAAGGCGTGCCCCCAGTTTTTCCACCTCGCTTTCCAGTGCATGAAGCTTCATCTTGTATTCAGCAATCTCCCGCTCATGCAGCTCCCTCTCTTCCTGTTTCTCCTGTTCTGCCCTGTCCCGCTGCTCTCGCAGCTGGTTCATCTGCTTCTCCTTGTCTCCTATCGCCTCTTCGAGGCTGGAAAGCGCCCCCTCAGAAGAGCAGTGGTGCGCCTGCATGGCAGTGAGCCGCGCACGGGCCATGTCAACCTGGTTGTCCTTCTCCTTGAGAAGGTCCTCCAGATTCTCAATCTGCAAGTGGTCAACAGGATCCACACTTTGGCTCACTACAGGTCTCACGGTCTCCACAAATTGCAAACAGGCTAAGGTTCTAGAATCTTAAACATTTTCCCAATACAGTCATTCATATTTCCTTGAAACAGAAAATTGCCTTCTAGAGCTAGCTCTGTTTTACGCATTCATGTTGGTTCTGATGGTTTACTCCTGTCATGGGGAAGCAAAATATTTGAGGTTGGTCATATTTTCTACCGTCACTACATTAATATATATTCAATACATTTAGAGATTTGAGCGTTACTTTAATAACAGGCATATGGGTCAACAAAGAAACTTATAAAAATAATCTCTGCCATGAATGTATAGCAGCTGTTCAAATAATAACACAGAAATAAGACTTTAAAGAAATGTTTATTGATACAGTGGAAATAGCAGTACAATACATGTGTTCTAAAACAATGACATGCAAAATAAATTAATACCTATGGTATACAGATCACAACTGTAACAGAATCAGACAAAAATACAACTGACAAACGAAGCAGAGAGGCAAAACACAACACCAATTTGTACAGTGGGTCTAATGGGACTGCTGCCTACCCATACTGGTGCACAAATATAAATGAATTAATGTAAATATAAATAGTATAAAATCTGTTATGCAAAACAAAATATACTTCAAAAGTAATTTATATCTATAAATGAAAATAACATTCCAAATATTCTAAATATTAGCAACTTAAATAATACCTGTACAGGAACACAAATACATAAAATCCTCAATTAACCATACTATGATACTAACCAAAAGTTTGATTAATAGGAAGGTGATAGAATACAACAAATTCACGAAGCCACATTTGGTTCACATTATAATGTAATACAGGAATTTAGTTTTATTACTTTAGTGGTTAGAAAAACCACAAAACTGAAGCACAAAATCTTGTATTGCTCACTCTGTTCATATCTCAGCACACTTTTCATGTTTATATATTTCAATTTTATCCCACAAGATCTTCTTCGCAAGAACAACAGGTATAAGAATATTTTAATACCTTCCTTGTATATTAAGAGATTAATCTGATGTTGAATTAAAATAATTTTTATTGAATACAAAAATAACTTATGCAAGTTCATAATTAATCATAATACTGTCATGTTTGGATGTATTATATGAAAATGCATAAGTTAATATTCTGTGTTAATATACTCAAACAATCACATTTTGAGCTATATCATATCAATATTACACTTCATTACAATTATGAAAGAAACCCAAAACTACATGTTTTGTGACATTGGTTTGTCCAGTGATGGAGGCTAGCTCTTTCTAAGGGACCCAACTGAATAGGTTTTTCCTTCACCTGAGGACGGAAACAGATCCAGTTTCCGAAACGTCGTGTTTTTATTTGTTATCTTAAAAACCAGGACGATGGATGAAGTCCAAAATCCCAACATATCAGTACATTTTACTTCCTGAAATGTCTGTTCATATTAATATTTTATAACAGTTTTAAGAAGAAATATATCTGAATTCTAATTTTAGAAGTAATGTGATAAGTTTTAAAGACTTTTTAACATGAAAGGATACTTAACGAAGCAACATGTTTGCAGTTTGGAAATTTTTTATCAAGAGATAAATGACACAGGAAAACAAACCAAGCTGATTAACCAAATATAAATTATAACTGGGTAATTCAAAATAATTCATGCACCTATCAAATGTATCTGAATACTGGCAAAATATACATAGAAGTGTATTTTACATACATCTTATTCCAGAAGAAATAAATATGAAAATGTAGAACTGTAAAGGAATGCGTCTTGACATTTATGTTCTAGTTTCTGAGCTCTGAGGCATTTGAAAACAATTTTCTAGAATAAAACTCAGCTTCCTGTGATGACTAAATAAAAGAAGTTAAATGAACAGGTAAATCCATGATATTTAGTCCCTTCATTTGAAAAATGCAATGGAGAAACCTGATTTAGACAGGGTGTATACTTCTCTTTCAGCATCCATTTTCCCTAGCCCTCAGTTGTTTTATTGCTAATGTCATTGACAATAAAGAACCAGGCAGCTCAATGAGTATCATGACAAGGTTAAGGGCTAGATGATTCAGGATTCAGTATCTGATTACCAGCACTGGTAAGGGATTTTTCTCTTCTTTTGTCATACCCAGACCATCTCTGGTGCCTACCCAGTCTCCCCAGCCAATGGGTACTGGGTACTCTTTCCCCATGGGTACAGCAGTTGGGGCATGAAGGCATACTTCTACTCAGCTCCCCATTACATTCCCATGATGTGATTCACAATTAACCACAGGGACAGCTTAACATTCATCTTACTTGCGTCAGGGCTGCTTTCAAAGCATGTTGTAGAAGAGTAAACTTTATTCTGTTTCTAACATCATATACTAATTTATATTATGTAGCTGAAACATCTGAAATTTTAGAAAAATATTTTAGGGAAGAACACTACTGTCTGTTAAGTTATTCTTGTGTGATGTATTCTGATTTAACCTTGTGCAGTTAAATCCTTACTTGGCCAACAACCCACTTGAAAGCATAATAAAACTACTCGATTTATGAGAGCTTATTCTCTGTCTCTGTTAAAACCACTACCCTTTGCTGTATCATAAACCTTACATCTATTTCTAGTAGAACTATATTACAATCCATTATCATTTGAGTAGCTGATTAGAGGAAAATTCTAAACGTTTACTTCATTAAAACTTACCATGTTGATTTATTAAGTGAAGCTAAAAATGAAAACTTTGGTTTAAACAAAGAAAATGGTGTCAAATCAAATGATGATCATGACAATTCATACATTTGAAAGAAATTAACTTCAATTACAAATACCCTTACATAAGTATATCCAAGTTTATACATGCTGTATCAAACAATACAGTTATTTAGAGTTAATATAGTGTGAGTGTTGGAGCTACACCTCAACTGCCCCAAATGTCTTCATGGTCTAGTGCTGAATTAATTAAACACAGGGACAATTTTACCATTTTCCTATGTTGAAAATAATAAGCTAACCATGATTCTAATTGAATGATATTTCAAGGAAAATAGACACCATAAAAATAGATCTCAAGCCCCATAATAATCCATTTTTTTATTGCTAGTGGGGTGGGACTAAGTCCCCTGTACTGCGGCCACTTCTGGCCTATTGTACCAGGTCCAGATGATAGGTGAGGGTGATTGTGGAGCAATTGGTGGAATGAAGATTGGCAGGGAAAACCGAAGTACTTGGAGAAAACCTGCCCTAGGGCCACTTTGTCCACCACAAATCCCACTTGACCAGACCCGGGATCGAACCAGGGCCGTCGCGGTGGGAAGCCAGCGACTAAACACTTGAGCTATGGCACGGCCATAATAATCCTTACTAGAACTGTAAAAAACGCTGCATAATTTCTGCAGAAGTTAGAAATAAGGAGGGAACTGAGATATCCACAAAGAGAGGACCCACCTTTCTCTGGAGAACATTGATCTTCCTGTCCTTGATATCCATGTGGTCCCTCAATTCATTGAGCTCATTGTTGAGTCGGTTACGCTCCTGAGTGGCTTGGGTCGCCGTTAGTGTCTTCTTCTCGATGTGGCGGTTCTTCTCCTCTAGCCTCTGCCTCAACTCCTCAACCTATAGGTAACAATCAGATATCATTAGAAGGAACAGGCAGTCTCACATATACATGTGAGATTTGAGGTCCCTGAGGCAGTGACTATGAAGTGTACTGTCCTCTGGAATGTAACACCGTGTAGTGTGCTAGTAAGATTATAAAGTAAATGAAATAAAGAAAGAAACCTTGCCGGGCTTACTCTTTTGACTCCAAAGATGATGGTAGTACATTAATCAAAAACACTGATCAACCAAATACACAGAATCGTATTATGGAGGGCAGTTCCTTCAAAGTTGTTCATGCCTTATACATGCACTGACTGGTCCCCCCTTTCATTACAGCCACTTTGTAAGAGACCATGGTGTCAGTCGAGTTAATATTGGCCTGGAGGTTATTTATCCCCAAAGTAAGACTCTCAATACTCACTAAACAATGCAGGGTCATTCTGAAGGTGATGTAAACAAAAATCATACCACTTTACTGTCTGAGCTGTGATGGCTCCTGACATAATAAATCATAGATTTTAAGACACTTTCAAATGGAACTGAAGTCTTGATAACATTATGTATATAAAAATCCTTGAGTTACGGATACCTTCACTGAAAGTATCTCCCCCCCCCCAACAAAAAGAGAAAAGACATGTTATAGCTTTCAATAGTTGTATGATTTTTGTGGACATTATTTTCACAGTACAACCCCTAGAATGAGAGACAGGGTGAGGGGAAAAAATAAAAATGTTTATTTGATTGTTCTGTTTCATATTAACAAATGAGCAATGCAGATGTACATGGTGCTCCTGAAATGTACGTCACATGCAACTTGTTCCAGAAGGAAGAATGCCAAATGCAAAATTTTAATTATAAGTGATGGAATGATCCTTGCCAAGACTCTGATTGGTCAGACCAGAGAGATGTACACAGTGGATCAGAAAAGTAACAAGATTTGTTCAAGCGGAATCACTCATAAGGAATTTATTCTAGAATAAAGAAACATAAAGGCCAAAATTTAATTATAAGTAATGGAATTAGTGCTGTAAATAATTTGATGCATCAGACCATACTGTCATGACCATATGAACTGGTTTCTGTTGCACAACAATGCATCCAAGCATATAATGTTAAACGTTCCAAGATTTCTTTCATAAATGGGGTTACTGAGATCAAGCCCCGCCCTATCACCAGTTCCGGTTCTGGCTGACTTCTGTGTCTTCGCAAAGTTACAAAAGAAGATGAAAGGGAAACAATTTCATACCAACGAGAAAATAAAAATGAATGTGACCACCTATCTTAATGAGATAACTATGGAAGAATTTTAAGAATTCTTTAAAAGAGAGGTGAAACAATTGTACATAAGAGTCTCATGCGGTTACTGAATAATTTTTTAACAAACCCTTTTCTGATCTCTTCTTTTTTTTTAATTTCTTTCTCTTCACTTTTCATACATACTGTATAGATATGAGGACAATATTAAAAGGGAAGTATAACATGAAGAGCCATATGGAAACAACTGTCTCAGAATAATGCATGACGATGATGATTATGATGACGATGAACCTTCAGAGAATTTTTGACCTATGGAATAACTATCAAGCACACACAGAAAGAGTCAGTAACACTTCAAGTCTGTCCATACTCACATCTGCCTGCAGCATATTATAGTGCTCCTCCTTTGCACAAAGAGACTCCTTCAGCACGGCTATGTGTCGCTGGTAGTCTTGATGCTGCTCCTCAAGTGTTTTCATCTTGGCGCTCATTGCTAAGATCTCCTGGTCTCTCCTCTGGATTTCTGCTCGGAACTCATCTAACTGTGCAGCGTTGCAGGGAAAACAGGGGTTTCCAAGAAAAAATGGTAACATTTGTTATTATTGTGAACCCATCGTTTAGTATCATCAATGGTTTCAGGTTGCATGGCACTAATTGAAATTCTCCTGATCCTTTCATGGAGCAACTGGCTGTCAGAGAGTCAAAAGTCTCTGTGGCTATCTAATGCCACATATACTGGAAGGATACACATTGTATTAGATATTGACATCTTTAGCAAGATTATACTATAATTTGTTTCAATTTTCCTGTGAAACATCATCATGTCCAGCTGGAATTGTTAGATATTTTATTTCCGTATCCTCAAATTTGAATTTTACCAATAAATTTTGTATCATAATGTGTCAGAAGTACCATAATGAGATTTAAATATGAAATGGTAGGATATATATATATATTTTATTTTCCACAAAATTAAAATGATAAATTTTAATAGACCCCAAAATACAGTGACATGGGCATGCAAGTGGGTGACGGTCAAATAAAATGACTTTGAAATAACAAATTCTGTAAGATTATGTTTCTTACAAACTTGGTTATTTCATGTGATACAGAACCATTAGCATCTGACAGCTGTAAATATTTAATGTTTCAGGTTATGCAAATAAGTGATGAATTGACATGTTGCTTTGCCCAAAGCACAGATACTCCCTCAGGTTTTGACATTTGCAAGTAATATTCCACTCAAAAGTGCAATATAAAAGACATCTAGCAATCTCCTTCTGATGGTATTAAGTCATTAAATAGATATCCCGTTATTATAAATAAGAAGAGGGGAAAACAAAGATTCAATTCATAAAAGTAAACAGTTAAAGGGATAATAAATCATTTCAGCTAGTGCCAAGCAAATGTCACTAAAATGGCCTAGATATAAAACATTAATTCAATCTATATATGTTACAATTATGACTTATCACTTTTGAATCTGAACCTTCACTGAGTCGAATGAAATTACATTAGATCCATTATTTTATTCAATTCTACATTACATGATACATAATACATGTTATCCAGTTTTTCTACTGTGAGTGTTTAATACTCTATGCTATAACTTACCCATATTTAAGCACTCAATTAGCTAATAGGAGGCATAATTAACTGCATTATATCGCTAAATACTCATGGAAAGGTTATAATGGTATCATTACAATTTTCATTAGCTTCAAATAAACTTCATAGATCTGTCTACTAACAGTAAACAGTATAACAATTGTAATGAGTTATTATCCATTGTGAAAACCAGTGCCATTAAAACAATTGTGGAGTTCATAAACACAATTTAGGGCATGTTCCTTTGTGTATTTTCAATTCTCATGCTATGCAGAAAGCACCTAATATGCTTTTCCTGGAATATTATGATGTAACAAGTGGCCATTTGTGTTATGTTTATATACAGATAATAATAAGTGCACCTGTTCCAAACAACACAGTTAATGAGATCATGCGATTTGTTGACTGCAGTGAGTGACTTGATCCTGCTCATTATTGACAGAAACTAGGTATACATACTCATATAGGCAAAACACATTCCAAATTAGTAGATATACATAAGCAAATTTACAAACTTGCTATGTTAACATTACAAACAGTTGTATAGAAATGGAAGGACATAAATCCAGTTTGAACAAAATCCACTAAAGAATGGGCATAAGTTTCAGCAACAGTCTAACATTCCTACTGGCTACTTAGTTTCTGTTAAAGCATGCAAGACATTGTTTCACATACTGGTTACCATATCACATGCTGCTTCTGCTAAACAAAAGAGATACAATGTATAAGGGCAAGAGATAGAGAGTGAGTCAGACAGCGCAATGAAGGTGGTAAAATGTTAGCCTGTTATTTCCATTACAATCTAGAAGCTGTGTGTCAAGCTCACCATATTTTGCGAGATTTTAAGTTCTCATGATGGTGAATATATAGATTACTGTCTTCTGGAACGCAGTGGTGTGGTAGATATGTGCCAACATTTCGGAGGCACCAGCCCCATCCATCACCAGGTTAAAAAAGAGGTGGATGAAGGGAGCATGTTCTTCTGAAACACTGGCATCTTTTTAGGAGTCTCCATTGCGTCACATCCCAAAAGACAGTAATCCTCCACCATATTTTACGTGGCAGGAAAAAAGTGAAAAAAAGATTAGGGTCACTCAATAAGGGGTCGTGATGCGCAAACAGGAACCCAAAACGCTGCGTTGTTGTCAATGATAGCTTTTCAACCTTGTAATTAATCAATAGTGGCGCATGGAAATGTTCAATAAAAATACTCCTAATTAAAAGCAGCCATAAATAATTTTGGGAAAAATCTGATAAATCTCTGAAAGAGTGATCTGCAAATGGAAGAGTACTGGGTCAAACCCAGTCCTTCAAATGTTGTAACTTTCATAATACTTGCAAAGCTTCTGAGAGCTATACAAGAATGAATTATGGCACACCAGATTCATATGTTACTGCACTATGAAGTGCTTAGAAATTCTTACAGTTCAGCAAACAGGACTGTTAGTGGGGCAGCTGAAAATTTGTGCAAATTCTGTAACAGAAAAACGATAGAGAAACGGGTTTGCCACATCCATGATAGCAGAAAAATGGATCAGGCTTGAAGTTCTACAATATTACAGCATTCCCTGATACACATAAGCAAAGCTCTTAGAGTTGTGTAAATAAGAAATTGTGTGGGAGTACCCCTAATTAATGTCTATACTATTTTTCATATATTTTGCAAATATATATGCAAAACATCAAAATACTTTGAAAGCTTATTAGTGTAATGTATCACCTCAGAATTTTGAATATGTAATGGAAACTAGAGCTTCAGAAAAATTTCCCATAGTTCTGCTATGTAGCACAATGTAAAAGTAGCTTTGAACTTGCAAATATTACAGGTTCCAGTATTTTGTAAGAATGCAAGCAGATATGATGTGTAATATTTTCTGAGATATGACACTGCATAGTCTGATAGAAGTTTATAGATGATTTCGAGGAATATATTGCCACCATCTTTGGTGTCAAAAAGTAAGCATGCAAACACCAATGACCGTCTGCTTGTTGGCTTACTCTTTGATCTTGAAAATGGAAGCAGTACATTCCTCTAAAATATTATTAAAATTCTACCAGACTACAAATTAGTATCTTCAAAATGTTTCATGGTTTTCATGATAGCATAAATCAACATCCCAGAGTAATACATGCAGTACTTGTGTTGGACAAAATGAATCTGGCAAAAAACATGTCAACAATAATATCAAAAATAGTTTACAATTTTTTATCACCGCCCACTGAGATGTTAAACAGGGCTGCCTAGCATATATATATATATATATATACATAATTGCAACTTTGGCCCTGTGTTGGGGTTTCACATTTGACATGGAACAAGGTTGGACTAAAAATATAAGAGATTATTTCACTTTAAAAATTATAGACCCATTACGTGAAGAAGTACCTTGCAAAACTGCATGAAAACAAATTCCAAACGTTCTGAATTGTGAAACAGAGTACTGGAAGCAATCCAGATTCTGGAAATAATACAATTTTGAATACCTTGGAAGAACAAATGCAGAACATGTAAGAGTTCTGGAAGATGGCACGGGAAAACAGATGCAGAACTTCTGAGTGCTCTGAAAGAAGGAATGGGGTCAGAATTCTGTGCACTTCAGATTTACACAAATTGAGCATGTAAACTTTGATAAAAAGCTCACAATTTTAAGATATATATTTAAAGTTACCACATAAAACAAGTAAACAGGCATCGATTGGCATGAAAGAAGATTGATTAGCAAATTGTACATGGATCAGAAAGTTAGAGTACGACTGGACAGGGGGGAGACAGGAAGTGTGCAGATTGGAAGAGGAGTTCGACAAGGATGCTGTTTATCACCAATTCTGTTCAACTTGTACAGCGAATGCCTTACCAAGGAAGCTCTGGATGGGCTCGGTGACTTCAAAGTAGGAGGGCAAATTATTCAAACTGTGAAATATGCAGATGACCTTGTGTTAATGGCTAAGGAAGAAACTGTGCTACAGGGCATGATTGATAGACTAATTGAAATTGGAAGGTGCTATGGCATGGAAATGAATGTGGAGAAAACAAAAGTAATGAAAATTTCGAGACAACCAACCCCAGTCACAATAAAGATAGACCAAAAACAAGTGGAGAATGTGAAATGTTTTAAATATTTGGGTAGCTTGTTAACAGATGATGGAAGGTGTACTTGTGAAATTAAATCCAGGATTGCCATGGCAAAAGCTGCATTTAGCAAGAAGAAGAATCTTTTTACCAGCAAATTGGACTTAAATTTGAGGAAGAAACTAGTGAAATGCTACATTTGGAGCATAGCTCTGTATGGGGCTGAAACATGGACACTTAGGGCAGTAGATCAGAAACATCTGGAAAGTTTCGAAATGTGGTGTTGGAGAAGAATGGAGAAGATCAGTTGGACCGATTATGTGAGAAATGAAGAAGTGTTAATTAGAGTCAGTGAGCAGAGGAATATCCTACATGAAATAAGAAAACGGAAGGCTAATTGGATTGGTCATGTTTTACGCAGAAACTGCCTTCTAAAAGAAGCTATCGAAGGAAAGATAGATGGGCGGATAGAAGTGACAAGAAGACGAGGAAGAAGACGTAAGAAGATGCTGGATGACCTTGGGGACAGAAGAGGATACTGTCATTTGAAGGAGAAAGCTCTAGATCGCATTAAGTGGAGGAATTGTTTTGAAAGAGACTGTGGACCTGTCATCTTGACAGATTACTGATGATGATGATGATGATGATAAAACAAATATTTTCCACATGATGTATTGAAACAAACTGACGTTCCTCAAAGGATATGTGCATTTGTTTTGATAATTCTTCTCCAGAATTTAAAAGCATTGATAAATTAGATAGTGTAACACAAAGAAAATTTAGGAAAGATATAAAGCATGCTGCATGTATATATCAGTGTGTGTGTGTGTGTGTGTGTGTGTGTGTGTGTGTGTGTGTGATAAATTCTTTCTATAGAAGCAGTTTTAGAATTGGATATTCTGAGTTAAGTTCTTCATCTGGAAGTTGGTATACAAATTTTCTTTCTAAAGGATCACATACAAATTTTATACCCACTATTAAAATTCAGATCAATTATAATTTAGGTACAAATGTTAGAGCAATATGCAAAATTAAGAGCTATAATGGGTGATTTTACCTGAGGGCAAACATGAAGCATTCAAGTGAGGAACAAGAAATGTTAATCAAGAATTACGTGGAATGGAGCTTCAACATAGTGCAGAATGGAAAACACCTCATACAGTATTTGGTAGGTGGGAGATAATTTTTGAGTTACAAATCCGCAGAGCCTGGCTTCAGATTTCGGAGCAAAGAGTATGCATAAATTGGTGTTGCATTTTGTAATTAAAATGATTATACAGAAACTATGTAAAGAACAACCAGCATATTCAATTTGCCACAAGTTTATCACAAGGTTTTATACTTTCACTGATACATTCAGAGACGAAAATAAAATTCAGTAAAATAATTACAATGTTATTCTATCTGTCAAAGGATTGTGAGTTTCGTTAGATTGGTCCCTTTTTGCAAATCACATGTAATTGAACAAAGAGAACACACACCACAAGACTACATAATGCGGCAGCCGTTCCCATTCCTTCAGCCCTCTTCCATTTTTCTAGATAACACATCTAAAAGAAAAATTGTCCGACTTATACTGTAATGCAAAATTAAAGTTATTTTAAGCCTGAATCTGTTTTTATTGTATGTGTGATAAAACATCTGGTTTTGTTTTTATGTCACGACCCATGAAACCAATTTCTTCAATTTTTTAAAAAACTTACTTGTCGTTTATAGCTAAAATCATGTTTAGGCAAGCTAGATGTAGCAGTAGCTGCAGAATGATCCATCATCATGTCCATCAGGGGAATGGGGGAAGTGGCCCCCATCAGGGTTTCCCGGACCGTCCCTCCCGTTCCCGCGCTCTCTCGGATCCTATCCAACTCTTGCTCCAGGAGAGCCACCTCCTTCTCCAGAGTTGCAATTCGAGCGTCCTTTGTTTCCAGAATTGCCTTCAGAGTACTGTTAGAGGGGCCACTGGAATTTTGAGTGTATGCTTTTTCTAACTGCACCTGCAGTGCTCTAAGGGTCTCATTGGTGGCCTTTAACTCCTGAATTATAAGCAAGCAAAATATACAAATGGATTAAAAGGAAGTTTGTGATATGCTAGCTGAATACTACTGCCTTATACAAGATAGGAGAAAGTCCTCGAAACAACTGCGCTCTTGGTTGCAATAGGAATACAAACATAATTTGGAAATGGGATGCCATGGCCTGTGCAACTTGGGCATATACATTACTCTGCTCTCCAAGCATAAGCCAGTATAGAGATTAAAATTTACATGGCTAGGAGCTCTTGAAGAGACACATTAAGCCATATGCAAATTACATCCATACAGAGTATGAAGAAGAAATATAACTTTGTTTAATAGTTTCGATGTGTTGAAATTAGGCATCTTCACTGAAATCACGGTAAATACAGATTTAATGTCACTGTTAATTAAGATGAGACATGAATGGGATTTTAATATATGAAAATGTTGATATGGACACCAAAATATTTGTAGTAAAAACTCATTGTTCATATTATTTGACTATAATCCTGTTTCCAAAATGTTGTCTTCTATTCTGTATAACAGATGGTGGATAAAGTCTAGAAACCCAGTGCTCCAATTCCACTTCCTCCATGTTCTATCTTTGGCTTATTATATTTGGTTTAAATTCAAGCCAATTAGATCTGTTGTCTATCAAGTTAAGGATATGACCTCTGTCATTTATTACTAAGACTGTTGGCGCCATGTTGTCTCGAGGTTACAACAATACATTTCAGGAAAAATAAAGATTTCCAGTTCCAAAACACCACATTTGGATGGAACGGTTTTGTAAATTTACAGAAATAAAAGTAAAGAATCTAACATTCAGTCACTACGTCTAACTACGTCTACTCCATATTAATTCACTTTTCACCCTGTGAAACACAGTACACATCTACTATGTTTACACCCTTCTTTTGAAATTATGATTATTTCTTTTGTTAATGTCACAAACCAACATACATACTTTCCTTTATCAGAGATAATACATTACATATTATTCATGTGGATTACATATATTTATTCAATATATTTTAATAGTTGTGTTATATCCTGTATGCATCTAAATTGATTCATTGTCCTCCAGCAACTTTTACTGATTTGAATATCCGAAGAGCAGTCAATAGATTAGCATTATATATATTTCTCATTTACTTAGAGAAGCTTCACAGAGTATGTGTCAAGAATACACTGTTCAGCACATAAGCAGGCCATTTATTTGAAATAATAAAGAGAAAGATGTGTCACTAACATAACATGCCACAAAAATGACAAAAAATTAAAACAAGATAGATAATTTAACTTCTGAAAAAATGTGTCTCTTTTAATTAATTAATTAATTTGCGGTTTGCTTAACAACGCTGCCAGTAGCTCAGGAAATATGGCGTCAAACTGTAGGATGACTAGTGAATGAGCAATTGAAAAAAATATGTGGAAGGAGCCGGTTTTAACCTAATTTGAGGCACCGTCCTGGAATCAACCTGGAGTGGCAGAGGTAAACAACAAAGATTCTCACCATCAGAACCAGTGTCTGGAGCAGAGATATGAACCTGGGACCAACCGAGAATAGGCATGCTATCCACTCGACCGCGATATTCGTACCAATAGGTATAATTTATTATGAATTCAATCCCCGTTTTGTAGAGTACAGGTACAAGTGAGCAATGGACTTAGGGGAGTTAAACTGGAGATCGCGCAGGTCCGAAATTTTGATGTTCACGCTGTAAGCAGTTTTCGCTGAAGTTCAAACATCTGCCGTTTCCCTTCTGTAACACCCTTTCTCAAGCTACTTAACGTGCGAGTATCCACTGTACACTCTACCCTCTTCAAACTCTCAAATTGCAACATTAATAGCATATTTAAGGACACAAAATTATAAATTAAAAACCATGTCGGTATTCAGTTCCATTCCCCCTCCCTCTTAAATCTGACAGTCAGTCCACGGCAACCAATTTCATCTACTATACAGGGTGTACCAGTAGGAAAGGTCAATATTCTGAGAGCGCATAGTATCGGTCATTCTAAGCAAAAAGGTGTATATGTAGATGTGCCATATTCTGAACAGTTTCGTGATCTATTGAAGATAAAAAGTAAAGTAAAAAGTAAAGATATCCCTGTAACAGGCCGTGGAGGCCCATAGGGTTGTGAGACGTCGAGGCTCCCAAACTTCATAGACAATCGGCTCACGGATGGAGGTGAGGATGTCTGCCTTTAGCGCTAGCCGCCCCTTATCCCCAGCAAGATTCCTGGTACACATTTCTGTTAGGGGCTGAGACTATCCCAGGACCACAGTGCGGCTGGAAGGATTAGGTCAAATTAAAAATTCAATGATCTCATCGGAAATCGAACCTAGGACCTTCCGGCTTGTAACATTGTGAGTTCATGTATACTGGCATTTATAATATTGCAAGCAGTACCAACGGTCAAAGTTATCAGAAGTATAAAAAGGCAAAAAATACCTAGGCATTCCATTTGAAATATATCCTCTTTTCCTTTAATATGTATGGTTCGGGGTTTGACATTTTTTCGACATTGAATATTATGATTACAGTGTTCTGGGATGTGAAACCGTGTAGTCTGGTAGGTAGGCACCAATGCTTCGGAAGAATCTGCTGCCCTCATCTTCAAGGTAGAAGAGGTTCCCCCCGAAATATGGGTATTTATCTACCAAGTTTCATGGCGTCACATTCTGAAAGACAGTAATCTTCAAGTATTATCTCTTTTTTGTATCATAAAAACCAAAAACCCTCACTTTCTTTTAACTGCCAAACAAGACGTGTGAGAGCTTATGCGAATGGGAACGCTGCAAACTTTTTCTTAAAAATGGCATGAGTATTAAAGATGGGATGAAATACAATTACTCAATAAATTTATGATCCTCGGTCCGACATCCCCAAAACTTACGCACGGAATGAATGTCATTTATTTCCGTGGTATTATAATCAATTTCTTTGTAGCTTTATATCAGTAATTACAGTTTATTGGTATTACTGTAAGGCGCTGTCTTAAAAAAATAACTCAGTATCGCAGTTTAGTGGTTAACACAACTGATTCATATTGAGGAAGCCGTCGACTCTAGTCTCCGCCTGGACTTAGATTTGTTCACGACTTTTCTCAGTCCCTCCTAGCAACTGCAGGGACAGTACCTCAAATTAGGCCACGATTGAGTCCTTCCAAATCCTTTTCAGTTCATCATACACTATTACTCCAATATCCGGCGCGCTACAGACTTAACCTAATTTACTGAGAGCGTTGTTGAACACACCAGAAGAAATCAATAAATAATAACTAGCTAATTTCATGGAGCTGAGCCTTTCTTGAGAAGCCGCCAGTTGTGCAGCTATTCAAAAACTTCCCAGAATTTGATGGCACCCGAAGGTTCATTACCGTATTCACAAAAGCCCTCCATTGGTTCCTATCCTAAGCCAGATCAATCCAGTCTATACCACCTTATCCTATCTGTCTAAGATAAATTTTAATATTATCCACCCACCTACGTTTTGGTCTTCCTAGTGGTCTCTTTTCTCAATATCCTATATGCATTCCTCTTAAATAAATAAATAATCCGAAAACTCTCTGTGGTGTATATGCGCAGAATAGTTCAGTGTTTTGGAAACATACTATAGTACTGTCTGTCCTCTAATCCCCAGACACTTCACCAGAAGACGAGAAGCAAAGCAATTCAGCGTCTTCATACTTCTTTTGCTAACCTTCACACTTTACAAGTGTTTTTCTTTCCCTAAGATTACGAAACTAGGGCATTTCCATAATGCCCCAGTAATATTTCTTCTATACGTAAATTGTCTTTTGGGTGCATTTAATTTAACAAAAATACTGGCAGCAACACGAATTGGAATGCATTTGTTTTTCTTGTGACTATAATTTCGTGGTGACTTTACGAAAGATGTGGGAAATACATCTGCATAACAGCACGTATATCAGAGAAACTCAAAATTTTGTGTTCATATATAAACATTCATATCAAAATGCAAACAAATCACAACAGAAGCAGTGATTATGTAGAGTGCGCTCTTTAAGGGTGTTTCGTCATGTAGTCTGGGAGAAGATTACAGATTTTTCGGAGGAAAGTAGTGCCTTCACTTTCAGGGTCGCTTGCTGCCATAGTACGCAGCGTAACACCCAAGAACATAGTACTCATGTTGTAGAGTATTTACTTTACTTCTACCGCGTTCTCAGTTTCTGGTAGATCTATTATTTCCGCGTTCGGTGTTCTGTATCGTAAAGTCACTACTTGCAATGACCTAAGAAATCTCGTTTGTGCAGCTTCTATTGTTTTCATTCCTATTAAGCATACATTAACTTAGGTTAAAGGCCGCGCCATAGCTAAAGCGGTTAGTCGTTGGCTTCCCACCGTGGCGGCCCGGGTTCGATCCCGGGTATGGTCAAGTGGGATTTGTGATGGACAAAGTGGCGCTGGGACAGGTTTTCTCCGAGTACTTCGGTTTCCCCTGCTAATCTTCATTCCACCAATTGCTCTACAATCACCCTCACCTATCATCTGGGGCTGGTACAATAGGCCAGAAGTGGCCGCAGTACAAGGGACTTAGTCCCACCCCACTAAAAAAAACTTAGGTTAGCTGTACCGACGTTTCGGAAGGACATATTTCCTCCGTCCTTAGGATCGAAGAGTAGTTCAAGCGAGCAGCAAGCAGGGCGGCTCACTTTGCATGCTGGTTGCTTGAATGGCTTACACTTCGATCGTGAAGATGGATGAGGTACGTTGCTCCGAAACGTTGGTGAACTATTATAAGATTACACGGTGTAACATCCAAGAGGCAACACTCTTCATAATGTAATACGAGTATTATCATGTTCTAAATATAAATCTTAGTGTTTGATGTGTAAACATAGTATGTGTATATTATTTTTGGGTGTGTCTTCTCTGAGAGATTTTCCTTTAACCATCTGTCTTTGTTCAAGTACAAACAATTAATACAAGTTAAACGTTGAAACAAAAGAGAGCAGTGAATTCTGCGAGTTGGAATGTAAATCAACACTCTGCAAATTTCATTTCACAATAAGGACACAAAATTAATTATGTATTTAATTATTTCCTCTGTAGGTATATCTGAAAATATAAATGAATTCATTACGTTCATTTTTTCTTTTGCAAAGTGCTGACTTACGGACATACTCAGCCACGCAGCAAAATGGAGACACAGATCTGTCAGCAGCGCAGAGTCAAGTCCAAGGTTGCGAGCTCAGGAAGCAGAGAATTACAACATGTAACATCCCGAAGAAAGAAACGTAGAAAAGCGTCGCGACGGAATATCAGTAATTTAAGGCTTAGAGTCACGCGAACAGTCGGTCAAACCCGAAGCTACTGTTAGTTACAGCGTATGAAGATGTGTGATCCAAAAAGAGGAGACGGCATTTCGCTAATCATGAGTACACAATATTCACTGCACGACGACTTGTCTTGTCCGATAAATGGGCCACAGTTTACGTGTAATTCACCAGAAGGAGCCTGACAATAAGGCACGGGAGTTAAAACAATTTTCTTGGGTGTTATTTCACGAGGATGTCACTGTCTGGATTACACAGCGTCCAACTGAAGAATTATTAATGAATTATAAACTCGAAACAGTCGTAGCCTAACAGAAATATTCTGGAATTTGCGTGGTAGAGGTGGGGGTATCATGATACCCCTAACTCATGATAAGCGACTTCCTGGCCGAGGCTCAAACCGAAGACCTCTTGAATATAAATCTAAAGAGTTACCGATATTACAGTCTACTAAGTGCGGGAATGAAACCAAACTGACCCCAAAAAAAGAGTGGTTATTTGCGGAAAGACACGTGGGCAGCGCAACACTGGAAGAAACAAACTCAACCGATCATTTCCTCGAGGCTACTTCTATAAATTCGCCCCAGTTCGTGACTAACATTCGATTCATGATCCATACATCTACCTTCGTCGTTAAAACACGGCGTCTCCTGACTAAGTACACAGAGCAGGATAGTGATCTCTGAAGCTGTCAGCTTGCAGTTCGGAAAGTCCTCGGTTTCGATCCTCGCCCAGATCACAGGCTATTATAACTTAATTCCTTTGTGACATTAAGCAATCTCTCCAAAGAAATTCAGGGGCGGCGCCTCCAATAAGACATGGCCGAACCCTTCATGGTACCATTTTTTGCTGCAGTGTAGACATAGGCGGCGTCGTAAAATAAAAAAAAATTAATCGGGCACTGTCGTGTTTTTCAAAGGACACCGTCGCCTCACACTGACAGAATAAGATTATTCACGAACAAGGAAAGCAGCGAGTGAAACCAAAGGCTTCGCCGCTCACAGCTCTTTCCTAACTGTCTCTCTCCTTTAGGCGATCTCACACTAATCTCACTCCGAGCTACACGCGCAGATCCTCTTCGGGAAATTAACAGAAGGACAAGCTAAAAGTACAGTGAAACAAAACGTGTGTTTGTGAATATAAAAAGTAAAACGTAAAGCTATCCCTGTACCAGGCCGTGAAGGCCCATAGGGCTGTGAGACGTTGAGGCTCCCACATTATCTAGACAATCGGCTCAAAGATGGCGGTAAGGGTGTCAGCCTTACGCGCCGGCCGTGCTTTACTCCCCAGGAAAATTATTTAATTAATTCCTGGTACTCATTTCTGTTAGAGCCTGAGTGAACCCCAGGGCCATAGTGAGGCTGGAAGGATTAGGTGAATTGAAAAAAAAAAATCCAATGACCTCATCGGGACTTGAACCCGCGACCTTCCGGCTTCTAGCATAATGCCTTAACCTTTACATGAAATTTATAGCATTTTCGAAATCTGATCTGAACACGAAGCATATGCGACATACTTCATGAAAGAATTCTTAACACTCGAAAGCATGAAATTAATGTAGGTAATATTTAAATATTCAGTTCTTACGTCACAGAAAACATAAGACATCTCCGTTACAAAGTTCGATTAATATTGTTTATGGAAATAAAATGCTGTTCTTTCACAAAAATATGAAACACAGACGCTTAATGCCTAAGTAAGTGTTGCATATACCTACCACTTTCCTTTAAAGAGACAACAGGAGACAACTGAAAATGAAAGCGATATTCACTAATATAAATAACGCGTCTATAGGACACACCCGATGGCCTGAACAACGAAACTTTGTCTTGTTTCGGTGTCAGGAGGGAAGTTTCAGCATTGTGGTACACTCTAGCGGAAACACAAGACAACTCGTACATCGGGACCTATTCTGTTGTTTATAATGCATAATGAGTCTGAGACATTGCAACCTGTCTCAGGTCAACGGTCAGGAGACTCTCAATATCAGTTTCGGTAACACCTCTTTTGAAAACACCTACACTAAGATGGCGGTTCATTTGTTTCAATTTCTCTTTGGATCACACAAAGATGAAGCCAATGTTACATAATTTAAATCAAACAGAAAACGACATAACTGTCAAAGAGCCGCAATGTTAACCCAGACGTCATTTCCATAAGATAACCAGACATGAGATGAAATTGCAAACGGTAACAAGAAACCAGGAGCGGACAAAGCCACGCCAGACAATTCACAAGATGGCGCCGGCCAGATTGAAGCAGGTTAGCACAGATATGTACACACACACAGAGGCTCCTGCTGACATTATTGCCAATACATGTCAGCGTACTCACTCTCTTAGTCTTAGTAAGCTCCTGGTCTCGGTTGCGCACTAGCGTTTCATAGTGATGCGTTCTACTCTCACTCTCTATCAGTCTGGCCTGCATGAACTCAAACTGCATTCTCTCTTCCTCTAGCATTTTACCACCTACGAACACCCAAAGCAACATAAAGTAAACAGGACCTAAGTCATCATCAGGGAGAAACAAAACAAAACAAAACACAGATCAGAGTGCAGATATCTCTCGGCATCGTACCGGTGCAGGGTGGACGTGGGAATTCTAAACAAAGCTTGGGGGAGGGAGCTAGAAAACAGTACAGATATTAATGTGCTTATGGCTGGCACAGACATCCAAGAATATTTTATTAAAAATAATAAAATTTTGTTTCGGTGGCACTTCTGGGCCAGCTAGTTTGTGTTAACACGGACACACACAGAAGGCTTACTCTCAGCCACACACAATACTCACATTCTGGCATAGCGCTACAAATAAATCGCCAGGTTGATACTCCTCCCAGCAGAAATCAGGCAACAAACACAAAATTCGTGTCAGATACAAACGTTTGCAGTAGAGTCACATTAGGTACAGATGTAAAACGACACGAGAAGAAGCTGCCTTACCTCTCGCTTCAAGTCTTGCAACTTACTTCAAGGGAACAATAAATAGGCACTTACGTCTAGAATTCCTTATTATATTAAATGTAAGAAGGTAGGGACAGGGTGGTTGATGTTGCAGAACATAGCTACAGAGATAAAGCTGTGTCATATAGAGCAAAACATGTTTTCAGTTTTATAACAACTCAGTCTTTCAGAGTTGGAGGAGACAAAATTATAGGTACAGGAAATAGTATATTCCTATGCTGTAGTTGCTGTTAATCAAAGTTTCATATCAACTGTACGTCCTTTTGTTAATTTATTCATTGTAGCATTTATTTAAGTTACCAGATAATCTGGTTTAAGCCCCTTTTCGCCCGTTCTCCCATGTTATCCATTTTATTAAATTATCAGGCTACACAACCCTGTTCAAATATTATTTTAAACAAATATTCTTGGATGCTTCTGCCATTGAACACAACACCAACAGAAATAAAGTTAGCTATCTCATAACGAAAATAAAATATTATTAATGCAGAATTGAGAACACGGTGCTAGTGCATGGATGATAAATTGTCTGAAAGAAAGAGAAAGCAGAACAAATAAAAGGGGACAAACCATAACAAGAAAGATACTAAACGATTACTTCAGAAAATGTTATCCACCTGTTTTTGTGCCAATGCCTGCATTTGTTGAAACATTTGCCTCTCCTCCTCCTTCCCTAAAACAGAACGTCTTTCCTTCAGAACAGACAGACATCTTTTGTTAAAGCCAATTCATAAACACACAATCATATAAATTTTATTCCACCAGAAGGAAGAGAGATTAACCAATTAGCGTGCTTCTGAAATATGTAGAAATATTACTGATTAGTAGTGGTTTCGACATAAACTGATTTTGTCAAGCAGACGAAACTCTTTATAGCGTTCCAATAAGCAGACACACCGCCATCAAGAGGGATGTAATAATGCTACCATGCTTTATCATGCAGTGATAACAAAAAATCAGACAATCGTCGAACAACTTCTGCAAGTACAACACATAAATCTTGATTTCAGCTTCATTCCTGTCTTTCCCTTACATTATTCTCTGCCCGGATTCATCTATTTATAACGTGAATACTCTCAAGGTGTCTCTGGGTGTAAGTTCTGTCTCTTTCATACATGATAATAGAGATGAATAGGGAATTATTAGTAATTTATCTTCACTGAATGCGTATTTCTCTCCGACCGCTTATCATACGGCTATTAAGGCTCACAAACTTTCTTCCAGGGTTTTACTATATGGCACTATTGGACCTGCACGTTGTAGATTAAGTTGAATTTACATTAATTCGAGATCGGTTCGATTCTCCTAAAAAAAAAGAAGAGAGAATTGCTTACAACACGTAGTAAGTAAAATAGAATTGATTTGATGACGTCGAGAGACGTCACAAATAAAATTAAGAATATGGATCAACTTTTATTGCGCAAGCCATAATACATTTTACACTGAACATTTACATGTCCCTACTGTCCCTACTGGTTTCTTGCTTGACTTACTCTTCAACCCTGAAGATGGAGGCGATATGTTCCTCCGAAATACATGGCGCTACAACTCAGAATAATTTACTTTCAGAAAAAATGTATGTTTACCCAGGGAATGTAAACATTTGACCGAATTTGAATGAAATTCGAATTCCAGTCACTCGAATGCGAGCCCGAATTAATGTAATCTTGAACCCGCTCCATGCTACGAGATACCTAGCTTATAAGCACTGGCCATTCTCGCTTGAAATTAACTGGCTGGTACTTGCAAATATCAGTGAAATAAATGTAACAGTCCCCTTCTCAATCAGACATGAAGAGGGAAACACTGCGTACAAGAATATACCACAGAGAACTGACAATGCCGATCACGAGACACAAATCCTTTGCATCTCAGTTATGTGGAGACAGAAGGTAAGTATGACGTTATTATAACGGGAGAGTGGGGTGGGGTGG